TGATTTTCTTTTTGGGACTCTGGTAGTTTGTCCTAAAGCTGAAGTGGTAGCAGCCGGCTGTTTTCCTTCTCTGATATTACTGAGCGGAGAACCTCTCACACCAGTGGTGTTCTGTGGTAAAATAAGCAAGTGCATAGTGAATGGAGGATGCAGGTAAGTGCAGCGGTTCAGCGAGACCAATGACTGCATGGTCCAATAACCCTAACCCTTTACGAGGTTTTGACAAATGCGAGAGAACCACTTCATGAAATATTTCTGTTTATTTTTTAAATCTCCACAATATATTTATTAGGGCTGCACGATATCAGGAAAACCTGCAATATTCGATAACAGTGCTTAGTTGGGGCAGCAGTAGCTCAACAGGTTGAGCGGGTTGTCCAGTAATCGGAAGGATACAGGTTCGATCCCGGCTCTGGACAGAGAATTCTGCTGTTGTGTCCTTGGGCAAGACACTTAACCCACCTTGCCTGCTGGTGGTGGTGGTCGGAGGGACCGGTGGCGCCTGTGCTCGGCAGCCTCGCCTCTGTCAGCGCACCCCAGGGCAGCTGTGGCTACATTGTAGCTCATCCCCACCAGTATGTGAATGTGTGTGTGAATGGATAAATGATACACAGTAGTGTAAAGCGCTTTGGAGTCCTTACTCTGAGAGGCGCTATACAAGTGCGGGTCATTTATCATTTATTATTGCGATATTGATATTACTCACGATAAATGAACAAATACTAAAATATGCAGTGTTGATGTCGTCTGGCGTGTGACGTCTGCTCTGGGTTCAAAGCAAACAAAAACTAATGCATGAATTCCATTACGACTTAACATTTTTATTGCAAAAATATGCAGCTGCACCTGCTACTGTATTAGCAGCTGCACCTGCTACTGTATTAGCAGCTGCACCTGCTACTGTATTAGCAGCAAAACAACAAACTGCATGCATGCAGTTTCTCAGTGACTTTAAAACATCACCTCCACCATAAAACTTTTTCTGATGCTCCAAATACAGAAAAACATCCCTTACCAGGGTTTTTTGAATAAACAAAACTATCTGAAAATAAGTTTAAATGTTAAATATTAGTTAACATCACTTAAATGCAACAGCAAATTCTCTCATTGCTACTGAGCATTTTCTCCACTTATGTGGTTATGATATAAGGCTGTTGCTGCTATTGGGAAGTGAACTGTGCTGGGCCAAACTAGGAGAATACTAAGATTTTCTGAGGGAAGAGAAAAACAATTGTCTACCTTTCAGAAGAAGAACTGGCAAAAAAAAACTACATGGAAAATATGTGAAAACGTTTGTTTTTAACCCCAAATTGAACAAGTTTACCTAGATCTTAAAAAGCAGCTCAGATGATGAAACTGCAACTATGATTCTGATAACAAGCTAACAAATTGAACTAGCTCCTCTTAAGATAACCGGCTAGCAGAGCTTCTGACTGACAGTTTATGTGCAGCAGCAAATCAACTATCCTGAATAACAAGGTTATAAAAGCTCATAAATGAAAAATCACTTTGATGTGTGGGGGAACTTTTCCAGGCCCTCTTTAGAAGGGTGGGACTGGGAGGAGAGTGCTGCAGCCTTTTAGCTGGAAGCTAACCGGAGCCTGGGGCTAACATCACCACCCGATGGAACATTAGCGACATGAAGGTGGGTTGGTTCACCGGCACGTGTCGGAGTCAGCCCGGTAAAAATGATTAACGACACCGAGCCAAGCCCCCACAATGCGGCTCAAAAATTGAGCCCAACCCGGAAGTACCAAAAATTGCAGTTCCACCCTCATCCGCTGGGGGCTGGTGTCAGAAGCGAGCAAATCCTCATTGACTCCCATGTTAAAAATGCCAATTTCACAGCAGAAATAAACATGTTTACAGCCTGGTACCAAAACATTTTTTTTGTTTAAATTATCTAGTTTACACTCATGACAGCTCTGAGGGGGGGTGAATTTTTTTCTCACTCTTCTGTTTAAGTGTATTAAAAGCCTAAAATTCTGTATAATTAATGAGCATCAGACCCACGTGACCACAGAGCTAGCTCCGTGGAAAGGCCTCAGTAGAGCCTCGGTCTGGCCTGGAAACTGTTCCGGGATTTTGAGTCTCTGTGTTTGTGTGTTCTGTTTTGGATAGTTTTTGTGCAATTGTTGGACAAAATGACTTGCTGTGGCATTAACTGCACTAATAGAGCATCCAAGGAGTCTCCACTTCATTTTTTCCGATAAGTAAAATTATATTTATATATTTTAGGTCACTGCCGAGCTGAGCTTAGATTTTAACATGTACTGTTTAATCATGACATTTAAATGTAATAGGGTAAAACCCAGTGCATTTAACATAATGCTGCACTTTAGAAAATGGGTTGAAATATAACATGTTGGTGGAGCTGGGTTCCGACTATCGGCTTGTGGAGCTCTCGGGAGACCGATGTTTTCCACCCGTTCTCCCCTCCCCGCAGCTCGGCGCATCCGTCTGATCGCGGCTTCTGTCTGCTGCGCGGCTGCCGGCTTTCAGCAGCTTTCGGGAGACCTCTGTGTTCCACCCGGTTTTACCCAGCGGTCAGCCCGGCGTATCTCTGACTCAGAAGCTCTGGTGTAGTGCACAGTTAACTCCGGTTGTAGCTAGGTTGCTACCTCCGTTAGCTTAGCTCCCACCTCCGCGTTAGCTTTGGGTTAGCTTTTAGCTAGTTCGACCGGGTGTCGTCAAGTTGATCCCAGCCTTACAGCCCCACCCTCAGCTCCACCTCTCTTCCCTTTTGTGGAATTGTCTGGGCTTGACGGAACCTGTGACACGGTCAAAATGGCGGTGGTGGCCACCTCCCATTTTAGCACAAAAACTTATTATTGGACACTATGGAAACCTATTATCCAATATTTATATGTCGATGCACCGAGCGGACTCACGTTCACGTTTGAAAGCAGCGCTGATTCCAGAAACCTCAGCATAAAGTGTGTTCGTTGCTCTGAGCCAGCATGACGAACAAGGGAACGGCGCCGCTAATAATGGTCTACGTAGGGGGCGGGCGTATTACGTGAACGGACCCATCTGATTGGCCGCATATCAGAAGGGCTACATTTGATTGGTCAAATAATACTTCCGCGTAAAAAACAGAGCTGGTTTACAAAAAGTTGATGTATGACACGGATGGAAATGTTGAACCAAACATTTATCGCCGTTTTTGACGTGCTTTGCGATGGGCCTATCGCAAGTCCTGTTATCCCGATGACGATAATTTTTAGATATATTGTGCAGCCCTAGTATTTATAGTTATACTAAAGCCTCTTTAGAAAACAATGCCACTAATTTGCTGCAACGCTGAGGAGGCATGAGGGAGCCTTAGGTCATTTATAAGTGGTCGGACCGTGGCTGTAATGTGGCGCAATCATGGGAGCTACGGTGGAACAGGTGTTAAGTGCTTGCCCCCATAATCGGAAGGTTGCAGGTTCGAGCCCCACTCAGTCTGTCGCTGTGTCCTTGGGCAAGACACTTAATCCGCGTTGCCTGCTGGTGTTGGTCGGAGGGACCAGTGGCGCCAGTGCTCGGCAGCCTTGCCTCTGTTAGTGCACCCCAGAGCAGCTGTGGCTACATTGTAGCTCATCCCCACCAGTGAGTGAATGTGTGTGTGAATGACTGATTGTGTTGTAAAGAGCCTTGGAGGGTTCCAGGACTCTAGAAGGTGCTATATCAAATACAGGCCATTTACCATTTACCATGTCCTTTTTACAAAAGATTTTGCGTTGGCGATATAAAGGGGATACGCGGGTGGTCTCTGCACTGCCGCGAAATTCCGTTTATCTTGGACATAACTTGCTTTTTATTGCAATAGTTCACCCATTAAGTTTTTTTCACGTCGCTTCTAAAGGTGTCTGTCCTCCACAGTCCCTGCGATCTGAAATGTTTGATCGCCCGCAGATCTCATGAAAACCATTCAAGGCTGGAAAAAAAATCGGTCATCAAGGAGAAAGCAAACGTCTGTGAAAGGAAGCCAGAATAGTGACAGCAAGGTGAAAGTTGGTAGCTGTACAACTTCCACTCGAAGATAACAACACCCACACAAAACCCACTGAGTTGCAGTTTAAAAATAAGAAAAGGATCAATTTTTGGTGCAAGCTGAAAAAATGGGTAAGAAGCCTGTTACACAATACAACAAAAATAGACCACTGTAGAAAATGTGCTTCTTTCACTGGCTTTTGCTCAGATTAGTTATTGTACAGTCTGCTGGATGATGCACCCTCCCTGACCCACTTACTAAGCTGTCATTCTGCAGAGAGAACAAAGAGTAGCAACTGTCTGTCAATAGCCTGAATGTGTTTTCAGGGCTGACACAGATAATACTGAAGGCCAACAACACATGCTGATACCCAACATCAACATGGGTGCCACAAAAAATAAATCACCCACTTTGATATCTTTATGTGTCCAGTGATCATTTTGACCACATGGGGGTCACTTCACTTGTCAACTCATCTCTACAAAGACAGGAAGAGCAATTACCCATAGTGCTGTGAGAAGGACCTGGATTGATTAGTTGCAAGACAGACAGAAAGGTGGAAATATCGATCATTTACCTTACCACAATCAATCGTTTGTTGTACACAATGTCCAGAAATCAGGGGAAAATGCCGCAAAAATCTGACACACCATAAAAGCAATCTAAAACAGGCTCTTTTTTGTCAAAGCAGTACCCCAACCATCTCATATGGCCCAACTCAGATCCATTTTTAAATCACTAATAGGTTGGTTAGAATAGTTAAATATAGCCAAATTTACTAGCTTTAGATGTTAACCAAGGAAAGCAAGGAATTGTGGGTAATTTAGTAACAGATTAAGCAGCTGACAGGGATCTTTGATATATCCAATATGAAGCTGTAAGACTGATTTAATAACACAACCAGTGCTGATGGAGAGGGTAAAAGATGCTCCCTCCCTGTGCCATGTGATGTGGAGTCAGAAGCAGGAAAAGATGCAACAAACACAAAACATATGAGCTGTTAAAAATCAGATTAGTTTACCTGTTGATTCGCCAGTGTTGATCCAGTCTGGGTTTGCAATGCTGGCTATTGCGAAGATATCGGCAGCCAGAAACAGGCACCCTGAAATGATTGTGAGTTTATCCATTTTGAGCCAGTGGAGCGGCAAATGAGGTGGGAAGTGTGGCGGTCCTTGTCCAAATGTGACCCCAGGTGTTGGGAGGCTTGGGTGGGCTGTTATCTGTCTAACCTCGCCCCCTTTAACAACAGGAGCCCGCTGTTGTGGTTCTGCTGTGCATTTTGCAGCAACGTTAGCCCCTCCGCGTCGAGCAAACGTGAGCCTCCAGCTACAAAAGGCTCAAATGTGACGCACAAAAGCATCACATCTCAGCAGCCTGAGGTGGTCCAGAAACTTTAAACGATACCTCATTTAGCGCCAAGGCTCTGGTCCGCTTGTGTTGTCTTTCGGATCCGCTTAGCAGCAGCGGGTGCAGCAGCAGCAGCAGCAGCATCGGGTACAGCTGCAGCTAGCAGACAGCTACGGGCTCGGTGAGCCGAGCTGCGGCCCAAAGGCGGCTCTACGGCCGAGACCGTAACTGCGCTTGCATTTCAGAAACAATGTCACACCAACGGAGGTCCAGCAGATGCAGGTCAAGTTTCTGCCACTTCCAAATACCCGTGGATTTAGCCAAACTTTACCCGTCAGGGAAACGAGAGCCCATCACCCCGTCCTCCAGCTTCAGGCTCTCGGTTCTCCTTCTCCGCTGGAAGAGCATCTGGTTCTTTCAGTCCATTAGCTCGCCAGCTTCCCTCCTCCTCTTCTCCCGTTCGGACCGCAGGAAGACGCTTGAAAACGCAGCGTATTTCCGCCCAGCAGAGTTTAAATGTCCCAACGAGGACGGGAAATGGTAGCGGTATTGTTATGTTTTTCCACTCGTAAGCCCACCGCTAGCTCAGCCTCCCCTTCTGCCAAATGACATCAAGCAGACACCCCCACCTCAACACAGAACAGGGGGGACTACGACCTAATCTCGCGATACTTTGATGTAACGAGATCCTGCTTTAGCCTCGAGTCAGTTGTGATCTTAGGGCGGATAAGAAAACAAAAGATTTTTGAGCAATTAAATTTAAAAAATCCGTATCAGAAATCTAAACGCACACGTCACCAAATTCAACAAAATAAGACAGATGCTAAAAGAAAACAAACAAAAATACTTAATAATGTCAAAAATCCAATTAAATCCAGTGTGTAAAATTGTTGCAACAGATGTATAAAAATCCTGTTTAAAATTTAAATAAACTAACAAGCCCAAAAAAGACCAGCCTTGAATGATCACATAAAATATATTTGAGGTGGTTAAAAAGCAGAGGTGTGGACTCGAGTCATTATTTTAATGACTTCTGACTTGACTTGATAAAATCTATAAAAACTTATGCCAATGACTTGTGACTTGAATCGACTTGCATCTGTTGACTTGATGATGACTTGAGCATATTTGATATTTTAGCACAAAAGTGGCACGACATGGACAAAAATCATGAATCATTCTTCGTTCTGGGTGTGATCTTGTACTGCTAAATGCAGCAGCACTTTGTTTATAATCAGTTTCAGTTGCACTTTCTGCTCGTTTGAGCAACTAAATAAAGCTGTAAGAAGCTCGAGTTTATTATCATTGTCAATAAATTGAAGTTGGACAGATGACTTGATTATGACTTGAAAATTAAAAGTTAAGGACTTGGACATGACTTGGACTTCCACATCATTAACTTTGGACTCAACTTGGACTTGATTGTCTTTGACTTGGACTTGACTGGAAAGACTTGTGACTTACTTGTGACTCACAAAGCAGTGGCTTGGTCACACCTCTGTTAAAAAGCTCCTCAGTGGCTGGGTCCCAGGAGTAGATGAGACTCCTTAGGGCTCTGGACGTTGTGGGGCTTTGCTGGCTGACACTCTGCTTGGACATCAGGGGCAGTTCCACTGGATTGACAGATCAGGGTGGTGCCCCCCAATTTAAAAGGAGTGACCGCAGAGGGGGATTACACTCCGGAGACTCTTTGGTAAGGTAATATCAGGGGTTATGGAGAAGAGGGTCCTCAAATTCAGGAGGAGCAATGTGGTTTTTGTTCTGACAGTGAAACACTGGACCAGCTCTATACCCTTCGGAGGATGCATGGGAGTTTACCGTTAGGAAGGTGCATGAGAATTCCCCCAACTAATCTTTGTGTGTTTTGTGGATGTGGAGAGGGCGTTCAGCGTTCACCACAGTGAATCATTCATCCAGTCACACAAACATTCACACACTGTTGGTGATGAGCTCCAATGTAGCCACAACTTCCCTGGGGCACACTGACGGAGTCGAGGCCCTCGTTCACAGGCGCTACCAGTCCCTCCGACCACCAACAGCAGGAAAGAAGGATGAAGTGTCTTGCCCAAGGACACAACAGCAGAACACTCTACAGGGAGCCAGGATTGATCCTGCAACCCTCAGATTACTGGACAACCCGCTCTATCTCCTGAACTACTGCTGCCCCCAAACAGGCCCCTTGATATAGGTTTGTTAGGTCCCTAATTGGTGTCAGAGCTCGGTCCGCATTGCAGGCAGTAAGTCAGGCTCGTTCCTGGTGAGAGCTGGACTCCGCCAAGGCTGCCCCTTATCACCGATTCTGTTCATAAGTTTTACAGACTGGATTTATAGGCACAGCCAAGGTGTTGAGGAGACCCATTTTGGTGGCCAAAGGATCAGGTCTACAGGTCTCTGCACTTTGCAGATGATGTGGTCCTGTTGGCTTCATCAGAGTGTGATTGTAAGCTCTCACTAGAGGAGTCCACAGCTAGTGGTGCACAGGGTGTGAAGCAGCTGGGATGAAAATCAGTTCCTCCAAATTTGAGACCATGGTTTGGAGTTAGAAAAGGACAGAATGTTTTCCCCAGGTTATGGATGAGGTCCTGACCCAAGTGGAGGAGTTCAAGAATCTCAGCGAAAAATGGTGTTGGACATTTATAGGCAGGTTGGTGCTGCATCAGCAGTGATGCATTGTACCGGTCTGCTGTGGGGAAGAGAGAACTGAATCGGAAGGCAAAGCTCTCAGTTTACAGGTCGATTTACGTTCTAAACCACACCTACGGTCACAAGCTTTGGTAGTGACCAAAAGAATGAGACATGCGGCCAAAATGTGTTTTCTCTGTAGGGTGTCTGGGCTTAGAAGCTCTGTCATCCAGGAGGGCCTCGGAATAGATCCGCTGCTCCTCCACATGGAGAGGAGCCACTTGAGGTGACTCGGGCTCCTGGTTAGGATGCCTCCTGGACGCCATCCTGGTGAGGTTTTCCAGGCACGTCTAACTGGGAGGAGGCCTAAATTAAGACCTAAGACACAATGGAGGTAATGTTTCTTGGCTGGCCAGGGAACACCTTAGGATTCCCCTGGAGGAGCTGGCCCAAGTGGCTGGGGAGAGGGAGGTCTGGGCCTCTCTGCTAGACTGCGACTGATCCCAGTTAAGTGGGTGGATTTGGATGCATTTATATACACAAACACACTGTACAATAAGCTAAATGATTAAATTCACAGAAAGTTGTAGAAATCTGAAAAAAGAAATATTTTAAAATAATCAACAGAAATTTTACCTATTTTATTTGAAGCATTATCATTTACATTTACTTAGACTAAATTCTTATGAACTGAAACAGAACCACAACATGAATGCCACTCAAACTGGGAGTATTTGTGCCACCTGCAGACAGTCTGGGGCCACAGATCATAAACATAACAAAAACGTGAGTTGATGTGAATTTAGGGCAAAAGAGCTTAGATAACACTCAAAAATAATTTATCTGAGAGCAACATATTTGCAATCATCCAAGTCTTGTTGTGATTGAGTAAAAAGGGCACCCAGACTTCCTTTTCTGGTTCTTCATCTCTCATTCACAAGGCTTCTTCAGTTTGTCTTTTGAAAGATGTAAAGTTTTAAAAACCTGAGAAATTAAACAATTTTGCATTTTATTAAGACTCGCTGATAAAAGAATCGAGTACAAGGTTTAACGTGGCAAACACCCATACAGAGATACAGGAACTCAAATGAGACAGTTCAACATATAATGATTTTATTGCCGTTATTTATGTACATTTTAGTGACGTTGATGTTAACCAAAAGCTTGGTTTACAGCTGTTAAACCTGCCGACTAAACAACCACAAGCACAGCTGCACAAAATCTGGTTTCAACAACTTTTAGCTCTAAACGCCTTAAGATTTAACATTTACATTTGCATTTGGGTCCCCCCACTGGCTGATGGACCAAACAGCCCCTTCATGCAGATGCTCTTCAATGGATGAAGGATCTTATTGCACCAATGTGACCATGTTAGACCTCACACCCATCAGATCAAATTTACAGTCATTATTATACATGTAAAAATTTTGTATTGAATTACATCGACTCCAGGAAGAGTAGCTGTACAAGTTACAGCTAATGGGGATCGGAATAAATGAGAAATGAAATGACTTTATTTTACATTGATACACAACTAAAGCAAGGAAAGAGCGATGTATTTGATTTCTGTAGCTTGCTTTTTAACTCTGATAGTCACAGAAAACCAGTTAAAATAAGACAGATTCATAATTCATCTACAAATGGTGTGTTAACAAGATGTCCACTAGCTGCCATGGTCTTTTTGCCATCCACAAACTTTTTTGCTGCCTGCAAAAAAGAAAAGGAACAAGTCTTTAATTCATTGCTTAACATTTTCTTATATTAACGAATCTCACAAATTCTTTGTAAATGTGAATATTTATTTTTAAAACCACATTGCAAAAACAAAACTCAAACAAGAATTTTAGACATGGCAAAAATCTCTAATTCTCACTGAGTGCAGCAGCTGCTTCTGCTTTCCAGCAGGCGATCAGGGTCAAATTTAATATAAACAATCAGTTTAATTCATCTATTTCCCATTTAGTGTATCTAGAAAGCACAGAGAGGATTTATTGGAGGAGACTGAAGGATTTTGTTTAAAGGTAAGAAGGTCTGATTCCTTTTCGGAAGGCAACAGCATTACAGTAATGTTACCATGGCAACAAACTTGAGGTCAAACGATGCAGCGGAGGCGTCACAAACCAAACAACATTCACTTCAGCACTATTAGTTCTAATGTTTCTGTGTTCAGTTTGATTGTTTTTACAGATCCACTAACATTATCTACGCACGCGCGCACGCACACACACACACACACACACACACACACACACACACACACACACACACACACACACACACACACGCACACACACACACACACACTTTGCTGATCTTACATGAGTTATGTTGGCATCATGTAAAATAAGAGTTGCATTTAAATGAGGAAAAAGATAAGAGGATGAAGATGTTTTTCTTTAAACACTAACCTTCATCACATCATCCTTAGTGACTGCATCTATAGCCTGGAGCACAGATTCAGGGGCCTGATAAGCTGCAGTGGTCAGAACCTGAGCTCCGATCTCTCCCAACAGACACTCAGAGGTCTCCATCGACATCAGACACTCAGCTTTCACCTGGTTTCTGTGAAAACAGAAAGTGGGAGAAACAGCTGGTATGTTCTGCATCACAGAGGTTCAGGGGAAACTTCTCTGAGGCTATGTTCACACTGCAGGCAAAAGCGCATCAAATCCGATGTTTTCCCCCCACATGCGACCCATATCTGATTTTTTTATGACAGTGTGAACAGCACAGATCCAATTTTTTCAAATCCGATCCATTTAACTTTCATAAGTGGTACTGACTCCGATACATATCTGATGTTTCTGAAAGTACTGCAGTCTGAAAGGTCATGTGGCATTAAATTCGTCTTTTATGTCACCGAGTCAACGGAGGTGAGCGTCGTGTGTTGACGTTCCTGAGGAGAAGCGCTGACAGAAGGATTCAGGAGTCTGTCTGGACAGCCTGATAAGTTTTGGAATTAAAAATACAGAAGAGCCTGAGAACGGGAGCGGGAGGTGCTGCTGGATCGAAGCTTCTCACCAGTCTCTGGGGTTGTCCGTGAGGGCGGGGAGTTCTCCACGAATCATGAATTAACTTAATACCGGAACATTTTCGGTGAGTAATCATTTGGGAGGATGACAGGAATAAAGAGTAGTAGAAACAACAGTTTCCAGCCTAAACGGGAGAATTAACAGTTGTGATCCTGATCCTGTGGATGAATCGCATCATAACTCCGCCTCTCCTGGCTCCGTTATGACTCCACTGAATGTGACTTCTTGTCTTCAGCGCATGCGGGTCGCTTTGGGGCCGTGACACGTTCACACTGGAGAGTTTGATGTCGCTTTTCAGTCATAATTTGAACAGCTTAACAAAAAAATTCGGAAATGAGCATCAAGGCCTGCAGTGTGAACGTAGCCTAGTGAACTCACTTTGATCTGACGAGGTCAGCCTCTGATATGCTTCCTGCTGCTACATTGTTCACCTGGGCAACAGCTGCTTTGATCACCTACACTCCGAAAGTCAAAACAGACAATGTGAGAGCTGATCTGAGCTTTCTGTAACGTTCAGATGGAAGTTGGATTCTTAAGCCTTCACCTCTCCAGCAGAATGCGCTTGTGCGATCGTATAGATGCCAAACAAACCAGAGTCAGAGTACGAGGCATTGAAAGCAGTTGCCTGGAGACAACACGCTCATTAGTTTTACTATTCTGGGACAAAATATGGCAGATAAGTTTTTTAACTTCTTTGAAGGTTTAAAAAAGTGCTTAACATGATTTTAAAAGTAACAATTTCTAGTCTTGTGTCTGTTTGTGTGGCTCTCAAACAGAAGCACAGTGATTTTGTTCTCCTACTCACATCAAATGGTTGTGTGGTGGCTTTAGCAATACCCTGGCTCAGTTTACTGGAGGGGCCAGAGCCACGTTTCACATATGGACCAGCTCCCAGGATCCTTTGCAAAACAGTGAAGGCATTGGCCTCGGCACTACCCGTCACACTGCCCTCACTGACGATCAGCGCGTGGACCAGGTCATCGCTGTTCTTCAGTCGCAGCTCACCTACAAGCCAAATAACACTGTAACAAAACTCTAAAAGATTAGGCACAACAGCGGCGGTTAGGATGCTTTAGATTTAACTTCAGCACTCATTCCCTTAAAAAAAGTCTAATTTCACTCACACATATTTTCCTTTTAAAATTCACTTATGGAATTTAAAAAAAGTACAAATATTTAGTATTGTAGCTTTCAAGTGTGAACATTCACTTGTTTTGTTTATATGTAAATTACTTAATTAAAGGTACAATATGTAAGAACGTTACAGTGAAGTAATCACAAAGCAGTCTAATGTCTCAAGCATGTTGGAAGGAAGGTTACATCTAAACAGATGTCCTTCTCAGCTGGCTGGAGGGTTGTCAGTTTATCTCCTTTAAAATGGTCAAAGAGGGACGTAGTCGCTGTTTGCAATCTGTGAGCACGTGAGCTCTGTCTGCATTCGTAATCCGACAACAGCAGACAAAAAGCTTAAAGAACTGACGCAAATAAAAGGAACAAGAAGCTATGGCATCCTTTAAGCTTTACTCTAATGCTGATTAGCTAACGTTAAGCTAACACTGCTGACAGTGATTTAGAGAAACAGTCATCTCTAAAAAGAATTCAAGCAATTTTTTTTTCAATTACCAACAGTTACAGTGAAAGGTATGTGTGAAGTGAATTTTTCATCAACTGTGGTGTTTTCCTTCCTTTATTGAGTTTATATTCCCTCTAATGATGGGGGCGACGGTGGCACAGGAGTTAAGTGCTCGCCCCGTAATCGGAAGGTTGCAGGTTCGAGCCCCGCTCAGTCTGTTGCTGTCGTTGTGTCCTTGGGCAAGACACTTAACCCACGTTGCCTGCTGGTGGTGGTCGGAGGGACTGGTGGCAGACCAGTGCTCTGTAGCCTCGCCTCTGTCAGTGCGCCCCAGGGCAGCTGTGGCTACATCGTAGCTCATCCCCACCAGTGTGTGAATGTGTGTGTGAATGGGTGAATGACTGATTGTGTTGTAAAGCGCCTTGGGGGTTTCAAGAACTCTAGAAGGCGCTATATCAAATACAGGCCATTTACCATTTTTACCATTTAATGAGGGAGACATTCTACTGTGTAGCAAGTGCTCACTGCCGCAAAACACCCGAGTGTTAACAGCATGTAGGAAAATTTATTAATCTTCTTAGAAAAAATGCTGTACATGACACGTCTTTGCTGGTCATATACTGTTGAATTTTCTAGCGCTGATACATAACTGGCAACAGCAATCAATCAGACTTTTTTCTCAGAATTCTGACTTCAATAATCCTGAGAAGAAAAGCCAGAATTATTTTTTCTCTCTTTTCAGTGGCCCCAATCCTCTTCCGTAGTACGGTGACATGTCAATAAAACATATAATTACAGACATTTCTATTAGGGATGCACCGTGGGATCGGTATTGGTGCCGATACAGATACTGATACCAGTATAGCGATTTTTTGTGTGGTAGAAGTATCGGTAGGGATGGGTACCTTTGACATTTGAATCGATCCGGTACTAATTACCGGTACCTACGAATCGATACCGGTACTTAACGGTACCAATTTTCGATACTTTTGAGTGTTTATTATTTTAATTCTCTTTTATAATTAAATATATCTTTTTCTCAATATATAACAATATTTGATAAATATCACGATAAATAACATACAACTGTTTGTATTTTAACATAGCCCTTGTAGTTTTATAAGGTGATAATTAAACTGAAGCAAAAATCTTTACTGTGAACTAAATTTACTGTGTATCTTCATTCCTTTTGCCATCTTTTTTCATTAGATTTTTCCTACTGGGAAGTTAGAATTTCCGAGGAGAATGCGAACGCACCGTTAGCTGATAACAATAGTAGCAATGGAAGCTAACGTATCAAGCTAACGATATCTTAAACAGTTTATTTAGCTGCTGGAGCAGATTAAAACGATACCTCACACTTAGATCGTCACTGGTTTCGTCTTCACCCGTCACATTTAGTAAAGTGAAGCCAAACTTTAGAGCGCGTTCATGTTGTTCTAGTCGGAAAATCGGAGTTCCGAGGAGAAAGCGAACGCACCATTTGCGAAACGGAAGCTAACATATTAAGCTAATTATATTTACCTACCGGAGCAGATTAAGATGAGGATGTCTCACTTAGATAGTTGTCGCTGGTTTCATCATCCAGTTACCCATCACATTTAGTGAAGTGGACCCAAGCTTTAGCGTGCGTTCTCTCTACCATGCTGCTCTGTTTACAACAGCAAGCGACGACAAAACGCTCTTGCGCATGCGCAGCTGTCTTGGCAAGTTCTCGTTATGAAGGATGGGTACCGAAACGAGGCACCGTTTGAAATGACGTGAATCGGTGCTCGGTCGGTACTATGGAATTCGGTCGGTACCTTAAAAAGTACCGAATTCGGTACCCATCCCTAAGTATCGGTATCGGTAATCGGTATCGACGAGTACTCAGACCCAAGTATCGGTATCGTCTCGGTTTGGAAAAAAGTGGTGTCATTGCATCCCTAATTTCTATCTTTGTTTTGATTATAATTATGGCCACAGTCCTTTTAATTCTGTGTATTCATTTTACAGGCTTATTTACTGAAGCTCAACATAACGGTCTAAGCCAGAAATCTTGCTTTATTGTTTGTTTCTTAGTTAAAGGGACTTTACGGAGTTTTGAATTTTTACACTCGCGATTGCCCCCTCAGGCCAAAAGCGTAACGGCAGCTTCAATAGTAGGCTCGTGCACGAGGCGCGCATGCTGTACGTGCACATTCCTTAACGAAAATAACAGCTGAGACAGTCCTGTGTGTGTGTGGCACAGAGGACAAGAGAACGCGCAGCTAATTAATTAAATAATTTGGTTCTGTACCTTTCTCTTCAGCACAGCCGACAAAGGTTTAAGATGGGTCAGTCTTCCTGCATGCTCAGATCATTCCCTTCCCTTGCTTGAACAATTGTTCCAAAATGAAAGTTGAACCCACATCTTTTTTATCTGTGAATTCAATGCCGTTCGGCGAGTCTCAAATAAAAATGTGGGCATCTTACTGTAAAAACATATACCATTAATGTAAAAAATAAACTCTAACTAAACCATATTCACATCCAGAATCGAACCCGGGTCTTCTGCACGAGAGTCCGACGTCTTTCTAGGCGAGCTAAAGCGCCAGTGATGTATTTTGTATCTGTAATATTTATATCCTTGATGACAGCTGAAACAACGTTCAAAGAATGGTTCGGAGCGAAAATGGCTATTTTGTTGCTAATTTGCAGGAAATATCTAGAAGAAAGTAGCTAAGGGTCCTCAGAAATGTAGCTAGGTTCATCACTAGGCGTGAGGAACAGTGACAAAGTCGCTGAGTTGGCACTACCTCTCTCTGCTGCTAAAGCTATGGATAGCAAATGCTACGGGCTATGCCTGAGCGTGAACGCGCATGAAGCAGCCTGCTCGACTTGAGCAGCTCTCTTTTTCTGTGATTTTACAGAAAAACAGGCAATCACAGTAAAAATGCTACGGCTCATTCTACAGGACCAAGGCATTGCAGGAGAATGTATGAAGAAGAAATTTATTATTTCTATACATGTTTTGGCTGTCAAACTTCCATAATGCCCCTTTAACACGTGTTACTTATTTGCTCATATTAACTTAATTCCTTTTACTTCCCTGAATGTGTTTTTGCTGTTTAAAATGAGTGTTTACCTCCACGGTACACTGCTTTAGTCACAGGAGCTCTAGCTCCACTGCGAGCTCCCAGAAGACCCTCGCCCACCTGCTTCAGGATGGAGTGATTCACACCTGGATGAATGCATAAGACATAACACACACCTGAGCAGGTTTCACTTTGACTCTATCTTTGGGAATAAGCCCAACAATAAGAAATAAACAATGTGAAATAACTAATAGGAAAAATAAAGTCAGATCAGGAAAGTGAGGTGATTAAATAACACTCACCTAGACCTACAAGAGCCATTCTGCCAGAGGTGAAATTATCCTCAACAAAGGAGTGTAGCTACAGGAGAGGAAGAGTGTGTGAGGGCTACACAAACTAAGAAACTTTGATTAGTTACATACATTTCTATTCCAATCATTCACCAAGGACAATATCATTTCCTTTTAAACAACAATAACCAGATTTCTACCTGTTCAGAGGAGATCCGACCAACCATGAAGTCAGGACAGTACAAGGAGTTGGACAGGGCGTTTTTGTACGCTGCTTCATGCAACATCTCCATTACATCTTTAGGAGGAAACAGAAGAAATCTAAACTTCAAACAAAGATTTGTTGATGTCCCACGCAGAATATATTTGGTGTCATTCACCTCATAGCTTGTTTCCCCTCAATATCAGGAGCTAAAAACCAGATAAAACTCTAGATCATGAACCAGCTGATGGATACTCACTCATCTGAGGACATTGCTGAACCAAAGCCTTGTCAATCTTCACCCTGGGCGTCAGTTCATTCACTTCCCATGGTCGAAACTCCTGCGCCGTCGTCACGTTGACCAGAAACTCTAGGAGCGGCTCTCTAAATATATGTAAGGCGTCTGCAAATGCTTAGATCAGGTATGAGCACAAACACCTCCAAATACTTAAAGACAACAACTTACAGATCATCTCTCAGACAGTCTGCAGTGTAGACCATGGTCTCTCTGGATCCCGTCACACTGGACGAGAGGAAATGAGAGTTCAGGTGATGAGTGTTGATGTTTACACTTAGCGACAGGAAGTGTGTATGTGTGTGTGCCGTGTGTGCTTTGATGGCTGACCTCAGGCTTCCTCCCAAGGCTTCCACACTGTGACAGATCTTAAAGGCAGATGCTCCCTTTGTTGTCTATTAAAAGACAAAAACACCAACTGTCAGACAATCAGTAAAGATGGAAGTTAAACATAATTCACTGAGCTGTCTCAGGAATAACACATCTACTCCATCAAAGCATCACACATTTACCAAAAGTCCTCACAAATTACCAGGTTTGCTGCCAGTCGTAACACGTGAGAAACACCCAGGTTTTCGGAGGTCTCGAAGCGACTTCCAGCTTTCACAAACACACCAATGCTCGACAAAGGGGAATAGTTCTCCAGGGACGCGATTACCAGCCCGTTTGGGAGTTTCGACACCTGGAGTAGGAAAGAAAAACGTTACCGGAAGACCAAAATATAATCTGTAAAAAGGAAATGTTTGACTTTGATTTTGTTTAGCATATTTAGAATTTTTGTTTCTGCTATCAGAAGAGCAGCACCTACTTGGACATTCTGTGGAGGAAAAGGTGCCGTTCGGGCAGGTTTTAGGCTTGAAAGGGGTTCAGAGAGAGTTTGACCCCTTCTGGCAGCAGCATAGCTGCATTTCTGTAGGGAAGGATGATAAAAACAATGACTTATGTAGGTGGGTAATTCATTCAAGGTGTCAAGAACTAGAGTGTTTGTGTGAAAATGTAACACCCTGAGTCCTTTAATATTAGATAACAGCAGGTGACCATTTTAATATGTTACGACTGTCTGGCCCATAGGTTAGATGTCCCCCATCTTCCTGTACAGACTAATAGCTCAGCAGGTCTTTTGATCTACTGCACAGGGCTGCATTCCTTATGTACGCTCTGGCACTTTCACAACAAAGACAAGCTTTACATCTTAATATCCGATTCAGCTCTTGTGATTTAATTCTGAGGCTTTTTAAACTACAAATAAATTCTGTTTTAAAAGTGCATTATGTAAGAATGAAGTAAAAATGACATCCTGTGGTCAAATTTGGGTACTGCAGGCCATTTTCAAAACACAGTCCCTTTCTTACTCCTGTTCTAAGTTTCATGGCTGTTGCCAGCTGCGGCTCAACACCAGAAGATTCTACATAACAATAAAAGATGAGTCATACACAGTAAGCTGATAGGTAGAAAAATACATTTCACTGTAATATTGAGTTGTTCTTTTTAGAGCTGCCTATATGCTTCTAATTCACTGTTAGCATTGTTGGGTTAAAGTTAGCCTCTAGCCTTCTTTACCTGATATTAGAGTAAAACAAAATATACGGTGGCTTTTTAGGGTTACAAGAAATAACTTCAGGGTCACTCCTCTTACTGGCAAAATTTTTTTTCCACAATGCAGCTGCTTTTTGCCAGCTGGTGTCAAATTAAAAATGCTGATGCAGCTGCATTAGTTGGTACCTTGCGGCTCTCACATCGTTACTTTTTGGCCATCTTGAAAAGAGAAAAACTTACAACTCCCCAGCCGGCTAAGAAAAAATCTATTTCAACGTAACCTTTCTTCCAACATGACTGAGACGTTGGGACTGCTTTCTTAATATTTCACCCTAAAATTTTTACATATTGTGCCTCTAATAACATCTTGCATGTTTTCTTTAATCAATTTCCCTCTGGGATTAATAAAGTATTTTTGAATTGAAATGAATTTTGCAGATGGCGTTTTGTGGCTTGGTTATCAAAAGTAATATCTTACCAGCTGTAGATTAGGGCTGAACGATTAATTGCATATGCAATTGCATTGCGATGTGACAAAAGGAGATTTTCTAATCGCAAAGGCTGCAATTTGACTGACAGCGAGTGGTTAGCACAATGCTAATATACATTGAAAAACCCATAGGGATGCTAATGCTAATACCGCCGAATAGATTCTAACAAATTACGAATTAGGAACGTGCCAAATTATTACATTTGGAGTCTAATAAAAAGTAAAAACTACCATTAATCAAATAAGTACAGAAAGATATTTTAATAAAGCCAGAAAAATGTACTTCAACTACACTGAGTTTTGGCTAGCAGCTGTGAACGTAACTGAACTATGGAAACTCTGCATGGACAAGACGTCAACAACTCTAAACACAAAAGACTTCAATAAATGGGACACTTCTTTCCTGCAAATACATTTTCACAGTTGATGCTAATGCCTATTCTCCTTCAAGGGATGTGTTCCTGGCTGCAAAGCATTGCACCTTCAAAGACAATATGTTGTCTTTACTTGTGAGTGTTCATGTATGTGTAGACAAATAAACTTGTTGATATATGTAGATACATAAACTTGTTTATATTCAGTACAAGTTACATAGATTTTTTTTTTGCTTCCGTTAGTTGAAAAATGAGAAAAGCCCCTTGAGAAAATAATTGTGAATTAAATCGCAATTGCAATATTGAAGAAAATAAATCGCAATTAGATTATTTTCCAAAATCGTTCAGCCCTACTGTAGATAGTACTAGGTGTAATACCTAAGTTTGGGGAAATAGAGATGAATTCCAAACAAACAGATGAGCTAAAATTTGGTCAGAAAGGGGATGGTTATTACGTGTATAAATGTCACATTACATAGTTATTCTGGCAAAATTATAATAAAATTCCATCCAGAATGGCTAATGTAGTTAACCACAGAATAGAGAAAACAGGTGTGTCCGAATCCAGGGGCAGGGCGCTTGTGAGGCATTTTGAGGTCGATGATATCACAGTGCGGCGACGAGTACTGTCCGAATTCCAAGAAAATTTGGTTCAATATCACTCATCCTAGTCTAAACATATGATATGGCCTAAAATCAATACCACGATACATTGAGGATTTCACCTCGATAAATGGACGATAGCTACAGGTGCAGACCTGCCAACCTTGTCAAAAATTTTCGAGTACCACTTGTGTGACTTTTTTTTTGGCAAACTTTTGTAATTCCATTGCTTTTCATTCTGTAATCCCCCCATTCACTAGATGGAAAATTTTATAAACACACACACACACACACACACACACACACACATACTTGTTCATAGCTCTTATTTTAACTAGTAAGGTTATAGACATTTTTACAGTTTGATCTGACTCCAAAGTATCATGTATTTTAATATTAAACAGTAAAACTCTTAAGTTTCCTTATATATTATTATATATTATAATATTCACATTTAATTTTTTTCAATTCAGATTAATAAAAACAAATATTTATATGTATTTAATGGTAATTATTTATTTTGTATATTGCAATAGGTGTTTCTGTTCTCAAGAATGTAATATTAAATTGGCTTAAAGCACATATGCACACATCACCAGGGCTAATTTACTAATTACCTGCAGCTCCCTGGTGGCTTATGTCCACATCATGATTGCAGATTGTGCAAAATGCATGGTGAGGTTGTTTAGAGGGTCGCAAGCATCGCCACTGTTCTTGATATTAGGACAAAAACTTCTGAGACACATGGACCCTCTTCTTTTTGGCAGGTCTGCTAACCAATACCTCCCTGTCTGCTTCTCCCTCATCTGCCATAGCGTGAGTTACAAAACGAGCTGCGAAAAAAATAATGGCTGCATGTTTAAACTGTATAAATTATCACATTCCTCCTTATATCCAGGCCAAATCTATCTGCAATGGATAAAGGCAAACACACACGCAGCTGCCTCTTTCTCTTTAGTCGCAGATTTTTAATTTTTTTTCACTCAGATTTCAGCTTGAATATTCAACAGTGAAAATAACGTTACGCGTTCACATTCACCAAAAGACAGCCGGTCCGGCCCGCTGACACACACACACACACACACACAAACAGTTTACCTTATCAGAACAGCAGCGAGTGGCGAACCGGAGAGAGGAGCAGCGGGCAGGACGAAGCAGGGAGGAGGGGGCGGGGGTGTTACGCTATAGGCTAGGCAGGATAGTTAGCTCTGGTTTTTCTCTGCTTTTTTCAATCAATCAATCAAAGCTTTATTTATAAAGCGCCTTCCGCAACCCTGTCAGGAAGCCCAAAGCGCTGATTTTTATGATGATTGGCTTAAACTTCTTCACCACGTCGCTGAGTCGTGTTGTCAGACATGAGTACCATACGTGCATATTTGCCACAGAACTCAACTCACGTATCTGCAGCTTTTTGCGTAGTTTATGGGCCATTCCCATCTGTACCGGGTCGGCCCGGGCCGGGTAGCCCCAGTCGGCCCCAGCCTGGCCCGGTTGATTCCACACATCCTTGTCTTAAGCCCATGTGAGCTGATTCTACCCACCAATCAGAGGCTTGCTCTAATGGAAGGTGTGAATTTGCTGTCAGCAGTGGGTGTGTTGGCCCTGGTCGGCCTGAAGCAGACCCCCTCGAGAAGAGGGCTGAGAATGAGCCTTGTTTGGCCCGGAAAAATACCAGGCCACCCAGATATGTAAACAACCTACGCTACCCGGCCCGGGCCGACCCGGTACAGATGAGGGGTGAGTCGTACCAGCGTAAATAGATGCCAAATTGCGTACTGGCTACGCAAAATACATACAGGTTGGCAGGTCTGCAGGTGTGCGCAGAAACAATAGTTGTCCACTAGATGGGGCGGTCACATGTATTACGTTGAGTCACATTTTTACGTGATTCAAGGTGGGACAGCTTCTTAAAGGGATATGAATGTTGCCAACCCACACACATCTTTTCATTTTGTTATTAGGAAATTTATTGACGTGGGAAAAATGATCTCAATATGAGTCAGAAATTTCGATAACGATAATTTTTTTATTTATTGCCCAGCCCTAATTCACAATCACCACGTTTTTTTTAACTCCACTTGATCGTGAATGTGCTACACGCTAGCTTAGCATTAGCTAATCTGCACGTATACTCTCGATCCCAAACTTTGGACCATTTCAGCCTTTTCCAATGGTATGTCTTTGCTGGTTTCTCTATTTTCCTCACCAGCACCTAGAGTACCACATTGTCTCTTGTCTCTCGTCTCGTCTCGTCTTCCTCCGCTTATCCGGGTCCGGGTCGCGGGGGCAGCATCCCAACTAGGGAGCTCCAGGCCGTCCTCTCCCCGGCCTTGTCCACCAGCTCCTCCGGCAGGACCCCAAGGCGTTCCCGGACCAGATTGGAGATGTAACCTCTCCTGGGTTGACCCGGGGGCCTTCTGCCGGCAGGACATGCCCGAAACACCTCCCCGGGGAGGCGTCCAGGAGGCATCCTGACCAGATGCCCAAACCACCTCAACTGGCTCCTTTCGATCCGGAGGAGCAGCGGTTCTACTCCGAGTCCCTCCCGAATGTCCGAGCTCCTCACCCTATCTCTAAGGCTGAGGCCGGCCACCCTACGGAGGAAACTCATTTCGGCCGCTTGTATCCGCGATCTCGTTCTTTCGGTCATTACCCAAAGCTCATGACCATAGGTGAGGATTGGGACGTAGATCGACCGGTAAATCGAGAGCCTGGCTTTCTGGCTCAGCTCCCTCTTCCCCACGACAGATCGGCTCAGCGTCCGCATCACTGCAGACGCCGAACCAATCCGCCTGTCGATCTCCCGATCCCTCCTACCCTCACTCGTGAACAAGACCCCGAGATACTTAAACTCCTCCACTTGAGGTAGGACCTCTCCCCCGACCCGGAGGTGGCAAGCCACCCTTTTCCGGTCGAGAACCATGGTCTCAGATTTGGAGGTGCTGATCCTCATCCCAGCCGCTTCACATTCGGCCGCAAACCTACCCAGCAAGAGCTGAAGGTCAGAGCTGGATGAAGCTAGGAGGACCACATCATCCGCAAAAAGCAGAGACGAGATTCTCCTGCCACCAAACTCGTCACACTCCACACCACGGCTGCGTCTAGAAATTCTGTCCATAAAAGTGATGAACAGAACCGGTGACAAAGGGCAGCCCTGGCGGAGTCCAACCCTCACTGGGAACAGGTCCGACTTACTACCGGCTATGCGGACCAAACTCACGCTCCTCTGGTAAAGGGACTGAATGGCCCTTAACAGAAAGCCACCCACCCCATACTCCTGGAGCGTCCCCCACAGGGTGCCCCTGGGGACACGGTCATAAGCCTTCTCCAAATCCACAAAGCACATGTGGATTGGTTGGGCAAACTCCCATGCCCCCTCCATCACCCTTGCAAGGGTATAGAGCTGGTCCACAGTTCCACGGCCAGGACGAAAACCACATTGCTCCTCCTCTATCTGAGATTCAACTATCGATCGGACCCTCCTCTCCAGTACCTTGGAGTAGACCTTTCCAGGGAGGCTGAGGAGTGTGATCCCCCTATAGTTGGAACACACCCTCAGGTCACCCTTCTTAAAGATGGGGACCACCACCCCGGTCTGCCACTCCCTAGGAACTGCCCCCGATGACCACGCAATGTTGTAGAGACGTGTCAACCATGACAGCCCTACAACATCCATAGCCTTGAGATACCCAGGACGAACCTCATCCGCCCCCGGGGCTCCGCCGCTGTGTAGTTGTTTGACTACCTCAGCAACTTCTGCCCCCGAGATCGGACAGTCCATCCCCAGGCCTCCCAGCTCTGGTTCCTCCTCGGAATGCGCATTGGTGGGATTGAGGAGCTCCTCAAAGTATTCCTTCCACCGTCCGACTATAGCCCCAGTTGACGTCAGCAGCTCCCCATGCCCACTGTAAACAGTGTGAGCGAGTTGCTGCCTTCCTCTCCTGAGGCGCCGGACAGTTTGCCAGAACCTCTTTGGAGCCGATCGATAGTCTTTCTCCATGGCCTCACCAAACTCCTCCCACGCCCGAGATTTTGCCTCGGCAACTGCCACTGCTGCACCCCGCTTGGCTATCCGGTACCTGTCTGCTGCCTCCGGAGACCCACAGACCAGCCACGTCCTGTAGTACCACATTGTGAGCCAGTAAAATGTGTGTGGCGCTCACATTTAACAAAGCTTTGAATCATTAAAAAATGAAACGAGGAATTTAATTGATCGAACCATTCGAAGATTCGTTTCAGTCCTACATCACATTGTTCATTAATCTGATTGGTCCTTGTGCTGTCCAGTTGCGTGCAAAGACAGTTTGGTAGACAACCATTGACTCCTCCCGTACAAGTGAGCCATTTCAACGGTCTGAGACCAGACTAAACATTTACATTTACAGGATGGCATGCGAGGCTAATACTTTGCAACTGACCCCCCAAAACTAGAGCTTTCCTAATTTGTCAAGTCAGAACTAATCACTGTTTCTCCAAACTGAGGCCCTTCAAAGAGACATTTTCAAGAGGTCAGATAGTAATAGTTCATGCTGCAAGCTGCAACAGATCTGAACTAGCCATTCATTTTTAAAAAATGGCCTAATTCAATACATCAAGGTCACATGGCATAATTACTTAAATGTATAGAAATAAAAATACACATTAAATGCTCAGAGCTTAAACCAAACCATCTTGTTTACTGCAAACAGTCATAGTCATCTGAGATAATACTGTATCACATTTCATCAGAATGTCACAAAACTTTGATAGTATTTATTGAAATCAAAGGGCCACGTGAGTTGAAGGGTGACCTTCAGGTTACATTTAAATGAGCACAGAGACAGGTAAGCTTAGATCGTATCTGATGTGTTATTGTTGTTTTCTACACACTAGGACAATCTAGTGGGTGTAAACTTGGGGAGTCTTTGCCATAAGGTCAGTCGTATTTAGAGGCTTCACCTGGCCATGTGTACAGCTAACTAGCCAGCGTGCTAACTGCAACAGGGACTTTGGTTGTCATGCAGGTAAACAAACTAGGGGAGCCGAGTTTAGAAGCCACGGCCAACACTGCTGACACCTGGCAAAACACCGAACTCACCGAGAAATTATTCAGAGACCGGACTCCTTTCATGGCTCCTGAATCTCTCCTTCTACCGGTGTTGTTCAAAAAAGGCCACGAATTGCTGTTTTGCCTTTTGCTTCGGTAACAGACGGCCAAGATTTCTAGGCTAGACCTAGACGACGGACAGATTACCCACAATCCACTGGGGCGAAACTAAGCGAGTAGGGTGCTTTCTTTAGCACAACACCGGCTACTGACTTTAAAATCAAAAGCAGAACTACCACAAGTTAAACTGGTATAAATAAAAGCTGACGTTTCACAATAGAAACTGTTCAAATCAGTTCTCACAGTTTTTTGTCGATTATTTTTCAATGTTTTATTTTATTTTAATCACAGAAGAGCTATTTTGCTAAAGAAATGGTTGTAAAACTTGTTTATGGATACATAAAAACGTTTTTTTTTCTTCCTTTCCCTTATTAGAATTAACATTTTGGGATTGTATAGTCTGCAATACAAAAACATGAAAAGGAAACATTGAGAAAAATATCTGAAAAAGATGAAAAAGAATTCAATTAAATTCAGTTCATTTATAAAGCACCAAATCACGACAAGAATTGTCTCAAGGTACTTCACAAAGCAAACACTCCAATGAATGACAAAACCGGTAGAAACTACACTACGACTAAGAAATGAACCGATGTGGATTTTTCACATGAGGTCATGGTCTACAGCAGGGCAATTCAATTCCGGGCCTGGAGGGCCGGTATCCAACATGTTTTAGTTTTAACCCTGCTTCAACACACCTGATTTCAATCAGCAGGTGATTAACAGGCTTCTGCAGAGCCTGATGAGTTGCTGCACAGGTGATTCAACCACTGAATCTAGTATGTTGGAGCTGAGAATCCACTAAAACGTGCTGGATACCGGCCCTCCAGGCCCGGAATTGAATAGCCCTGGTCTATAGCCAACATTTACTGCAGATTTTTTGGCCTGATTTTATAATCAATATCTAAACGTTTTCCACCTTACCTGCATGCTTAAATGTGACTTATAACAGTGAACCAGTTTTTAAAGCCTGACTTTATCCAACTGTTGGATCTTAATTGTATTGCACTGCTCAGAATGAAAATCAAGCATTTGACCAAAGGTAATTAAATCAATAAAATTACCAAGTATTAAATATACAAAATTAGACAAAAAGAAAAGCCAGTTACAATAATATATCTTTTACTATGATTTTCAGGAACATACATACATTTAAATAAAATCCTGAAGCAGCACCGGGTTTGCTGGGGCTTTACCAGACTTTAAATTGGCTCTACTTAAGAGGTATCGGTCAGTGCTTATAGAGAAAATGCAAATATTGGCCAACAGATTATATTGGTCTTTCCGCAGTCTCAACTTATTCTGTACATTAAAGCAACAACCCGGAGTTTTTCCCCTTCCAGAATTTATGCATGACTTTTTTAGAAATCCATGAAAGTGAGTCGTATCATGTACTGTGTTATACAGGTCCTACTCAAAAAATTAGCATATTGTGATAAAGTTAATTATTTTCTGTAATGTACTGATAAACATTAGACATTCGTATATATTAGATTCATTACACACAACTTAAGTAGTTCAAGCCTTTTATTGTTTCTAATATTGATGATTTTGGCATACAGCTCATGAAAACCCAAAATTCCTATAAAAAATTAGCATATCATGAAAAGGTTCTCTAAACAAGCTATTAACCTAATCATCTGAATCAACTAATTAACTCTAAACACCTACAAAGATTCCTGAGGCTTTTTAAAACTCCCAGCCTGGTTCATTACTCAAAACCGCAATCAAGGGTAAGACTGCCGACCTGACTGCTGTCCAGAAGGCCATCATTGACACCCTCAAGCAAGAGGGTTAGACACAGAAAGACATTTCTGAACGAATAGGCTGTTCCTAGAGTGCTGTATCAAGGCACCTCAGTGAGAAGTCTGTGGGAAGGAAAAAGTGTGGCAGAAAACGCTGCACAATGAGAAGAGGTGTCCGGACCCTGAGGAAGATTGTGGAGAAGGACCAATTCCAGACCTTGGGGGACCTGCGGAAGCAGTGGACTGAGTCTGGAGTAGAAACATCCAGAGCCACTGTGTACAGGCGTAAGCAGGAAATGGGCTACAGGTGCCACATTCCCCAGGCCAAGCCACTTTTGAACCAGAAACAGCAGCAGAAGCACCTGACCTGGGCTACAGAGAAGCAGCACTGGACTCTTGCTCAGTGGTCCAAAGTACTTTTTTTTGGATGAAAGCAAATTTTGCATGTCATTCGGAAATCACAGTGCCAGAGTCTGGAGGAAGACTGGGCAGAGGGAAATGCCAAAATGCCTGAAGTCCAGTGTCAAGTACCCACAGTCACCTGCTCACAGTGCCAAAACCACTGGTAAATGGTTTACTGACCATGGTATTACTGCGCTCAATTGGCCTGCCAACTCTCCTGACCTGAACCCCATAGAGAATCTGTGGGATATTGTGAAGAGAAAGTTGAGAGACGCAACACTTTGGATTAGCTTAAGGCCGCTATCGAAGCATCCTGGGCCTCCATAACACCTCAGCAGTGCCACAGGCTGATTGCCTCCATGCCACGCCGCATTGAAGCAGTCATTTCTGCAAAAGGATTCCCGACCAAGTATCGAATGCATAACTGAACATAATTATTTGAAGGTTGACTTGTTTTGCATTAAAAACACTTTTCTTTTATTGGTCGGATGAAATATGCTAATTTTTTTATAGGAATTTTGGGTTTTCATGAGCTGTATGCCAACATCATCAATATTAGAAAAAAAAGGCTTGAACTACTTCAGTTGTGTGTAATGAATCTAATAATATATATGAAAGTATAATGTTTATCAGTACATTGCAGAAAATAATTAACTTTATCACAATGTTAATTTTTTGAGAAGGACCTGTAATGTAAGCAAATATCTGTCCCTAGAGCCCCATGCAATTTGAACTGGGCACCATTCAGCAATAATCAACAGCATTAGACAACTATACTTATATACCAATCACAGAGCATGTGAAGATACCTAGACAGATGCAGAGTTGGTGAACTTTCTTTTAAAAATTAAGTCTAAAATCTAAATATAAGAATAAAAACTTGGTTTTAGCTCGATTTGTCGGCTAGGGGTGTGTTCGCGAACGAGAGGCAATGCTGTCAACCATATAGTGGAAACAAGGTGCAATATATCGTTCAGCCACTAGATGTTGATGTCCGATAAAAAAAAAAAAAACAAGATTGTTGCTTTAAACACTCCGTATTTACCTGCACCATAGTTTCTTGAATATTCAAGCTTCTTTATTAGTCAATATAATATTTTTAGTAAATAAACAACTTTATTACAACTATATTCAACTTACATTCACAAAAATGACAAAGTTACAAAAATACGCTGAACATTTCACAGGTTGAATGACAATTACTCAGAACTCTTAATTTTGAATAACAAAAGACGGCTCACATGTGTACGCGCTACCTCAGGTTACCCTTTTAAAATGTTCACAACATGACCCATCAGCCCACAGAGTTTGCAAAACATGTTCAGCAAGGTAAATCTGACAGCATGTCAAAAACCAACACAAAACAATACAAAATAACATGTTGGCTGGGAGCATCTTCAGACTGAGATGTTCCGACATCGAAAAGTACCTAAACATGTTCACATCATACCGAGGGAGCTTTGCTCAAAGCCACACTAACTCCAGATGGAGTGAGCCAACACCAGCATCTCAACCACCACTCCTCCAAAAACGAGAAACCCAAGCAAGTACTCAGCAAGGTGTCACCAGCTAGTGCAGATCACTTCTGGACTCCAATAACAGTTCAAACAGCTCCAAGACAACCCCACGCAGCTCCGATTCCCCACAACACCGAGCTCAGCAGCGCACCGTTACTGAAGACAGTAAAAATGATAAAAACATCGCCTCTTTGTGGCGTTTTAGTTGCTGTTTGAAGTGTCAGGACAGCTGCTTATGCAGATGTCCTTCCTCAGCTGGAGAGACACACAGCTGAGCCAGCTGCGACTGGTCGGCATCTCCCCGACAATCTCCCATGCGTCGGTCTCATCACAGTACCTCTCTATAGTGTCATGATATCTGCAAGAAAACAACCGTTAACATAAAATACAGGAGCTGTGTTTGATGATTTCTAATGATGTCAGAGGAATCGTCTCACCTGTCCCAGCCTTCTTCTCCTCCTAATACGTAGATCTTTCCATCTACTACAGCAGCACCTGGCCGGTAGCGTCTTTCCTTCATTGGGGCACACATAGTCCATTGATTAGTCTTGGGATTGTAACACTCCACCTTATCCGTGTTCTCTGTTGAGGCATGCCATCCACCTGAAAAACAGGAACAGGTTTAATAGAAATGACTCCCAACGACCATAAAAAGATGCTGGCCGAGTTTGTTACCTATAACGTAGATCTTTCCTTTCAGCGTACATGCAGCTGATCCAGAGCGGGCGATCTGCATGGGGGAAATCTCTGTCCATGCAGCGGTTTTTGGATTATAAACCTGAGCAAGGTCTGTTCCGTCTCCGTCCTCTAGAACAGCGCCACCTACCAGTACAGAGAAGATAAGTCAGCAAATAAGCAAGCCCTTCACATAAATGATTCCTTTACTAAAATAGAATACAATATGGTCAGAAACACTTTCCTACCAGTAACATACAGAAGGCCATCCAGGGCCACCACCGCAGGACTTGTGACGGCCATTTTTACCGACTGTGTGAACTGCCAAGAGTTGGTGTGAGGATTGTAGCACTCCACTGAGGCGAGGCGAGACCGGCCCTCCCAGCCTCCCACAGCGTACACAAAACCATCCAGCATCACCAAGCCTGAGACCAGAGGACGGAGTAGATCAATCAACACGGACTTTTAAGAGTCCTACAAAGCTTTGTTTTAAATTCTGAGAAATTCAAAAACAGCCGAGTCTCCTTTCATGTCTTATTCTTTATGCAAACATCTTTACAAAAAGACATTTTTGTCCTCATTTAAAACAAAAAAACGTCGACGGTCTGAAAGAAAGGAACATACACTTCTATTCCATCCACACGCAAAGGCATTTTTACCTTAAACTAGAAATAAAGACAGATACAAATGCCAAAAGTACTGGATACAATTACAGGATTTAGTAAGAAAATACCACTTCCATGTTAAAGTCCCGTTAGTCGTCACACACTGGTGAAATTTGTTCTCTGCATTTAACCGATCCCCTGAGGGAGTGATGAGCTGCAGACATGGCTGTGTACTATTTGGTCATTTAACTCCCCAATCCAACGGCGGGGAGACATTAGGTCCCATTTTTAAAGTCTTAAAGTGGATTTGAACCCACAATCTCCCAGTTTCAGGGCAGACACTCATACCACTGTGCTGGCAAGTTCGTTGGAGAAAAAAGAAATTTTACTTCAGTCAAAACTCAATCACTACAGGATTTCCAGTACAAGGCTGGTAAGAATTTGTTTGGTAAAATCTGATTATTTCCTCTGCATGAGTCCTTTTGGCCGCAAAGCATAACAACAAATCGGTATGAAAAACCTGATATTTGCCAATAAAACAGACTAAAGCCCCCTTCAGACAGGCCATGAAAAACGGAACTGTTCCGGACTCTGTCCGTAAGACCTTTGTGTCTGAATACAAACATCCGGATAACCTTTTCCGTAATTTAACCAGACGACGCCCCTAGTAACAGGTCCGGACAGGGTGGCTGCTTCAGACTGATGAGGTCGAGTTCCGGACAGGGAGAAGGGGGAGGAGGAGGAGGGGACCGGGGGACGCTGTGCGCACCTAGATAGCCCGCTGCTGTAGCATGCGGCGAACCACGGCAGCTCGCCTCCTACGATACCGTCTCCGCGCGACAGAGCACATCACACAGCTTCCGTGATTCCTTTTAACCATTGAGCTTCATCATCCTGGTCTCTTGTGCGTCTTCGTGTGCGCAGAATTATGCTTAACATAAGTCCGATCAGTGAGAGGAATCCTATCTCTTCGTCTGTCATGTTTGACAGAATGGCTTTGTTTGAGTAAATGACGCATGTACGCCTGCTGTTCACACATATTCCAGCATGTCTATCTGAAAAGGGCTTAATATTGTTGCCATCTGTCCAGGGATCCCCAACAAAGGAGACGGATAAAGTTTTCACAGGCATTTTTATCCAGAAGATCGCCTTACCCAACTCAGAGCGAGCCACATTCATGGGAGCCATCTCCATCCACGAGTCAAAGCAGGGGTCGTAGCGCCACATTTCCCGACTCGCTGAGCCATCGGGAAATTCTCCTCCTGCCAAGTAAAGAGTGGAATCTACAGGCAGATTAGAAACAAACATTAGCGCTGCTCATCATTTATGTTCCAGAGGAGAGTCTGGCGGGGAATTATGACAGCGTGACCCTGAATGAACCCGACCTGACACGACCAGCCCGTGTTTGCTCACAGCGAATGGCAGGCACGCCAGATTCTTCCACTGGTTGGTCACAGGGTCAAAGCTCTCCACGCTGCGCAGCACCACTTTATCATCCTCTCCCCCAACCGTAACGATCACTTCAGCTGTCCCTGTTGCCATGGTAACACACAGGTAGGGAGAACATTAGTCATGGTCCAGTGAGTTTTAGGCATACTACCTCATAGGACCCTGCACTGGGGACTTGTACTATAATATTCTACTATTTTGGGAAAATTTTTATTTTAAATGTTTCTGTTTTTAGTATTTAATATTACGTAAAATCTATCAATTATTTCTCTATAGTTCATATATAGTTGTCATTTATTTAGTAAACCTTAGAGTTGTTTGTAATTTTTGTTGTGTGTTTTCCTTTTACTGTTGCACAACGTGGTCATTATTAGGGATGAGCGAGTACACCACTATCTGTATCTGTATCTGTTCAACCAACTAAATTATCTGTATCTGTACTCGGAATGGGCGTGGCATAACCCGGAAGTGGGCGTAGTTTAACCGGAAGTGGGTGTGGTTTACATCAATACATTTTTTTAAGTCTGAAATTGATATGGAATGATCAGAAGTTGATATGTGTATTGTTTATTTGAAAACTATTTACAGAGCAGCCTCAGAATTGAGATTAAATATTTTTGATCACAATAGTAGTAAAGGAACTATTACAGAACAAGTTTTTCAATAAAATCAGAACATTAATATTTAAGTGCATGGATTAATACATCTGAACTCATGCAGTAGGAACTAGGAAATATGAAATGCTAGAACCAGACAACTTTATATATATTTTTTTTATTTTAATTTGATTAAACAGATTTTTTTCTTAACGTTCTTGGCATTTTGCCCCACACAAAGTTAAACAAAGCAATGTTGATTAAGGTGTGTGTGTGTGAGAGAGATAGAGAGGGTGAGAGGGAGAGAGATGGAGTTAAAAAAAATAAAAAACCCAACCGGAGCGGAGGTAGTGAGTTAATGCAGCACGTCAGCTCTGTCTTGTCAAATGCACCATGTAAGTTACGAAAAAAGTAACTTTAAATATTCAACTGAAAAAGAGGCGAGCTGAAGAAAACCTAGGGAAAACTGAAGAAACGTGAGCAACAGTGAAGCAATCACAGCGAGATCCGTTACTGTCTGTGTGTGTGCGTGGATGAGCAGGACGGACTGAGCTCCCGGCCGGCTAGAGAGTTTTGTGTGTAGGGAGGGGCGGGCACTCTATGTGACTGGCCAATCACAGAGCGTGAAGACAGTCAAGTTACCCAATGAGGATTTTCCTTCAGGACGATTACAGATATTTCCGAGGTTTACTCGTCTCATGCTCGTACTCGTCAAAAATGCTTTATCTGTACCGGATACTTGTCTGAAACGATCCCTAGTCATTATGATATATTCTGTCATAATCTAAGACGCAATATTAAAAAATAAATGCGTTTGTGAGGAGAGCGATTCAACCGAAACAGCATTCGGGATTTTATTCATAAATATGATGACCGGAAGTATGTTAGCGTATCTTAGCATTTTATGTTGAAACCTACCCCGGCCATTCGTTAATTTAAAAAAATTACAACCGTAAGTATCTTAAATGACAACTACATATGAACTATAGAGAAAAAATTGATGGGTTTCAATATAAAATATTATGTAAAACCTATCAATTACAGCCTGCAGCCAGGTGCTCTTGAAAACCTTTGCACTGCTCACAGATAGCAGTTAGTGATAACTGAGGGAGATCACCCCCACAGCCATGTTCAAATCTATAAGTCTTTTACTATGACATAACACACCCATGCAATAACAAAAAAGCTTAAAGGGACTTTACGGAGTTTTGAATTTTTATGCTCGCGATTGCCCCCTCAGGCCAAAAGCGTAACCGCAGCTTCAATAGTAGGCTCGTGCACGAGGCGCGCATGCTGTACGTGCACACTCCTTAACGAAAATAACAGCTGAGACAGTCCCGTGTGTGTGTGTGTGTGTGGGGGGGGGGGGGCAGAGGACAGAACGTGCAGCAAATTAATTAAATAATTTGGTTCTGTACCTTTCTCTGCAGCACAGCCGACAAAGGTTTAAGATGGGTCAGTCTCCCTGCATGCTCAGATCATTCCCTTGCTTGAAAAATTGTTCCAAAATGAAAGTTGAACCCACATCTTTTTTATCTGTGAATTCAATGCCGGTCGGTGAGTCTCAAATAAAAATTTGGGCATCTTACTGTAAAAAAATATACCATTAATGTAAAAACGAAACTCTAAATAAACTATGTTCACATCCGGAATCAAACCCGGGTCTTCAGTTCGAGAGTCCGACGTCTTACTAGGTGAGCTAAGCACCAGTGATGTCTGTTGTATCTGTAACTTTTATATCCAGCTGAAACAACGTTCAAAGAACGGTTCGGAGCGAAAATGGCTATTTTGTTGCTAATTTGCAGGAAATATTTAGAAGAAAGTTCTACAGAAAGTAGCTAAGGGTCCTCAGAAATGTAGCTAGCTTTGTCACTAGGCGTTAGGAACAGCGACAAAGACTAAAGCTACGGATAGCAAATGCTACGGGCTATGCCTGAGCGTGAACGCGCATGAAGCAGCCTGCTCGACCAGAGCAGCTCTCTTTTTCTGTGATTTTACAGAAAAACTGGCAACAAGTGTAAAAATGCCAGGGCTCATTCTACAGAACCAGGGCATTGCAAGAGAACGTATGAAGACGAAATGTATTATTTCTATACACGTTTTGGCTGTCAAACTTCCATAATGCCCCTTTAAAACAAAACCAAAAAAAATCTTACATCTGCAGAACCGATAACAATGGCTCAAGTTTAGACTGTAAATAAGCCACCAAAAAGCCTGGTTCATATTCATACTTCACTTTTTTTTTTTCACGCTTCGTTTTCATGAGGTATAAAAGTTTACGTTTATGTTTATTCATTCGGCAGACGCTTTTATCCAAAGCGACTTACAATTTATAACCTGTAGGGCATGTTGTGATCTGTGGGGGAAACCTGGAGTACCCGGAGGAAACCCACGCATGCATGGGGAGAACTCCACGCAGAAAGGCCGCGGCCGAGTTTCGAACCTGCAACCTTCGTGCTGCGAGGCAACAGTGCTAACCACTGTACCCCCATGCAGCCCATAGTTACATGTGTTCGTTTATTACGTATTCATTTGTACACATGCTGCTGCTAATCTGAGGTGTTGATGTCCAGCACTTTGTGAATGTGTGTGTGAATGTGTACAGCACCCATTCACACACACAATTTTAAACATCAGTTGAAAGCGCAATCCGACTGCAAGCTTTTGATTGGTCAGGACACCACTTCCTGTAAATTCATCACCAGCACCACCACCGTTGCTCTGTTAAAAAGTGATAAGATATTCTGTGGCAGACCCAGAACAAACTTTAGAACGCATCGTGAAAAAAGTCCAAAAATATGAACGTTTATTCGCCCGTGACTGAAGGAGTACAACATGCGGAGCAAACGTGGACGAAAATGACGGGAAACGTGGGTTTAGCGGTGGTGACCGCACGAAGAGGTGAAGCAGGATTAAGGACAAATTTGTTCGTGTGATAAAGTCTCTGAAATATATAAACACACCATCGTGGACCGGATACACGAGTGTTATGGTGGCAGGAAACCACAGAAAAGTGCTGCTCTTGTCCTGGCGGGGAATTGCTTTGCAACACCGTCTGCGCAGAAGTTCGCATGTGAAAACCCGACACTCCGTGTGCATCTCTTCGTTGCAAAGCTCAAGGAGAAGTATAAATCAGGCTGAATTGTGCATACCTGTCGACCTGCGCGGCCTTGCTCTGGAGCTGTAGAGTTCCCCACGGCGATCCTTCATCAGAAGGTAATCCTTGGCCTCAGAGATGAGCCTCTGGCAGCCCTGATTCTCCTTCACCACATCCAGAGACTCGATGACATCATGGAGGTAGTAGGGACTGATGAGAGGCAGGCGGATATGCTCGAGCACCTTTGAAGAGCAAACAAGAGAAGACACGATATCTTTACACGACATTCATGGACAAACATGGAAGAGGAGATGTTTAAAAATTCCCATTATGGTTCTAACTGCCTGTTTGGTTGGATTTTTAGTCCTCTTTTTACTCTCTGTGATTATTCAGCTTGTTTTATTAGTGCAGTGCTTTGATCAGCTGTAAAGTCTAATTTATACTTCTCCATCAGCTCCACGAGGGAGACGCGTGGACGGAGACGTTTTGCCCTCGGACTTCTCCGTCTCCTGGGGAGTGTTGCAAAGCAATTCCCTGCTAGGACAACAGAGAAGATTGTGCATTTACTACAGTTTTTTTTTTTTTTTTTTTTACGTGGACAAATTTGTCCCTCATTCTCCTCCACCTCCTTATGCGCTCGCCACCTCTAAACCCACATTTCCCTCCACCTCCTTATGCGCTCGCCACCTCTAAACCCACATTTCCCGTAATTTCGATCCACAAATAAACGCTTGCTGCAGATTTTTTCACTCCTCTAGTCAAGGGTGAATAAAATGTTCATATATTTGAGTTTTTCCACTAGGTGTTCTTTACGTCTGCTGCTACATATCTTCGACTTTCTTTGTTTGAGGGGGCAATAGTCCTGACCAATCACAAACCTGCATTTTCTGTCTTGTTGGACAGATGCAGCAAAGTGGGCTCGACCCCCACATCTGTCCTTGCGAGCCTGCTGGAGAGCCCTTGCAAGGGCGGATAAAGGCGTTGCGTGTCTACACCGACGCAGATGCAGAAGTATAAATTAGGCTTAACTGCTGTGTGGAAAGCGCTTAATAAATAAAATGATATGGAAATACCATCACCACCATTAAACAATCTCAAAGTAGCAGTGGTTTAGTGCAATCTTTACAAGTTTAATCTCCCATAAAATAAAACTATGACTGGCATCAGATTAAGTGCCTTCTGCTCTAAACTCTACACTCACAAAATCAAACAAAAACAAAGTTAAGACAGCTGATCAAACAGGAATGATCAATGTGACCTTTTCAAAACTCTGCTTGCGAGAAGAACATTTATCCAACCACAACACGATGGCCTCGAACACCATCTCCTCTTTGGGCACATTGAGAAGGTCACTGGCAATGATTTCAGTCAGTTTGTCCATAGACAGAGACAAAAACTCCTCCTGCAGAAAGCAGTAATAGAAGCATTATTAGTGGATGATCTCCCTCTCCATCAATCCGTGTTCTTGGTATCAAAATGTGTCTTTAAAATTCACGGACATCATATGTGAAATCCGTGGCACAAAACACGCGGAATTGGAAAATAACGTTTTTAGCCCCGTTGACTTGCATTCATTTTTTCATTCTTCCAGGGATCCATGGTGTGGAAGTGACTTAGGCTCCCTATGGTCAAAATAACAATTATACATTTAGCTGTAGACATGTACGAATATATCTGAATGGATTTTTAGGGAATTTTCTGTTACACCTGTTTTAACAAATTCAAGATGTTCGATCGCGGATACAAGCGGCCGAAATGAGTTTCCTCCGTAGGGTGGCCGGGCTCAGCCTTACCCCGGCTTTCCACAGGAGCCGTCAGCAGCACGTTACTGCAGCAGCACGTCATAGCTGCTGATAAGAACCGCTGTGGTCAACAGAACCTTTTCCACTGGAGCCGTCCAGCGCGAGTCGGCCGCGTCTCAGGAGCAGCATGTCGCGGCCTTTACGTGCCGGTTCTATTTTCTACGCGCGACGCCTCTGAAACGGGTCAAGTTCGACATTTTTGGAGAAGGAAAGACAGGAAATTGGACGCGGAAATGGAGAGAAGCTCCCGAGATTTTCAGAATAAAGAACGTACTGCCTTCCGGTTGCTTTACTTTAAAAAAAGGTTACTAACTGTGCGGCCCCGTGAGAAGTTATCACCTAACTAGCGGTCTCCTTTGTTTTTCAGGTCCGTATTGGCGATTATAAAACGGACAGAACATAAAACACAAACATTTTGGAGCCATGTTGTAGTTTTCTCCTGCTTGTTGTTGTGTTTACTGACGAAGTCACTCGTGTGACTTCGTGCTCTGTCGGTGACAGCTGCTCTGCTCCCCTGCTGCTTCGCGTCTCGTGGGAAGGGCCAAGCAGCAGCTTACGCGAGCAAGACGTGCTGCTGCAGTAACGTGCTGCTGACGGCTCCTGTGGAAACCCGGGGTTAGAGATAGGGTGAGGAGGGTGAGGAGCTTGGACATTCGGGAGGGACTCGGAGTAGAACCGCTGCTCCTCCGGATCGAAAGGAGTCAGTTGAGGTGGTTTGGGCATCTGGTCAGGATGTCTACTGGACGCCTCCCTGGGGAGGTGTTTCGGGCATGTCCTGCCGGCAGGAGGTCCCCGGGTCGACCCAGGACACGTTAGAGAGGTTACATCTTCAATCTGGTCCGGGAACGCCTTGGGGTCCTGCCGGAGGAACTGGTGGAGAAGGCCGGGGAGAGGACGGTCTGGAACTCCCTAGTTGGGATGCTGCCCCTGCGACCCGGATAAGCAGAGGAAGACGACGACGAAGATGTCCTACTGCGACCATTTTTGGCCATGGACCCCGCAGTGCGGTCGTGACTGCTCTTTGCGGTTAGCATCAACTGGAGCGGCCATGTTTGTTTTGCTTAGCCGGGTGCTTGATACTATCGTGAAAAGTCCCACCCTGCAGCACAGTACTGACACACGATTGGTCCAGCCTATTTTAGGCTAGAGGTTGGACGATTTAATCTGGAGCGGTACAAGATGGATTCTCTTGAGCTTGGAAAACTCCAAATCTCGCGAGAATTCATCTTGCAGCGTAAGGTTATGAGTCCCCCAGAACACCTTTAACCCACAAGTCTTTATTTTGAAAGCATTTTCTCCACCGCGTTCATCTATCCACCGTGCTCACCGACGCTTCTGTTTTGGTGGTTCGGGTGCACGCTCCACGTGCTCCTAACCCACGTTAAAAGTCCTGCTTCCTAGTTTGACAGTGGCAGGCAGCTTTCTTCACACGGTTTATGCAAGATTAAAACTCAAAACAGGAGAATGTCAATAATGTGGAACATAAGTCTCGATTTGCGGGATGTGTGAAAAGCGATGAAAATGTGGGACTGTCCCACACAAAGCGTCATCTGGTCACCCTAGTTTAATATGCAAATGTACATAGTGTTGCAAAACAGATGCTGCACATATGTAATTTCCCATCTGCAAGACTAATTCATAGGCATAAAAAATTGTCTCTCCTAAAAAAGAAAAACAATCCTTGAAGAGCTTGGCCTATGGTCGAAAAATTCGTTTAAGTTATGGATCCCACAGATGTTTGCAAACCTGCATAAGAAAATTAACTAAACCATACACATAGTTACAAAATCTATTTAAACCATTTTAGAAATAAAATAGATTTATTAGAATAAGGCGCTAACCGTTTAATAACTTTTAGCATCAAACCTCATGAAAAAAAAATGTACACACCCACATTTTTTGAGGGGTGGTTCCAACACTTAAAGACATATTAAATAAAGGAATAAAACCAAGTCACCTGTTGACACACACTACTGAAGTGCTCCAGAATGTACTCCATGCTGCGTTTCTCCAACATTGTACACGAGTGGGCCTCAGCAAAGCAGTGAATACCCACACAGTTCATCTCATCCATCTGACGCTCCATGAAGCGACAACAAGCCTCTCGAACAGCCATCACATCCAGCAGATTGGCTGCTGCCAGCAGCGCCTACACCGAATCAAACCCACCGCCACCACACATCATAATCTGGACAGCTTCTGGTGAGAGATGTGCGAGAGGATGTCTTACCTGTACATTTGCTTTAGAGACGTAGACCTCAGAGGTGTAAGCATAGCTCACCAACATGCCAATCATCTGTGGTTCAACACCATTTATAGCAACATGCTCTTGCTTGGACTCCAGCAGGTCAGTTGAAAACATGGCCTGGGGGGATGAGAAGAAGAAGAAGACAGCAGACACAGGTTAGGACCATTATGTGTCTGTCTAATACAGAAGAGAGGGTTTACCTGGAAGTAGGAGCTGAAAGAAGCCAGCACGATGCGATGGCAGGGGAACTCCTGACCCCCACAGCACAGAGTCACATCACAGAAGGCGTTGTTGAGCCGCAGGCTGTTGAGTCCCTGCAGAACCGTGTTGGGGTGCCTGCTTTCCACAAACAGGTAGTCATCGTTGTTCTGAGGAGCGGGCGAGGAGGCGGCGGAAGCAGCTGCAGCGGTGGCGCCGTTGGCGTCCACCTGGACCTGGAAGGGGGCGTTCATAGTGGACGGCAGAAGCAGACGGGTGCTGACGGCGACCACTTCAGCCATATCAGACTGTGCTAGGCGGTCCTGAAACGGAACACACAGGCAGGGGCGTCAAGCTAAATACCCCCTGACCTCAACGTGCAGGTGTTCTGGGAATTTATCCTACCCACAAAACAGTTGTGCAGCGTTTAGCAAAGATGATTTTATTACAGTCGCTTCAACAAGCTCTATTAAAAGGATAAAACAGAGTTGAGAGGCAATAAGGCGGTGTGAATCCCCGAGACTCTCACTCAGCCTTAGCTCGGGTGCAGCCGCGCAAACAAGTTTTACTACGAGTCTAACTACTCACGGAGCTCAGGAGGACACACACGATGCAAACACGGGTGATATGAAAAAGCTGGAAACCGTAAGAGCCAAAAACTATACCTGTAAAACATAGTCGTGACCGCGACGGAGCGAAAGTACTCTCCCACATACAGAACAAGCTAGCTTCAATCAGCAACCTTAAACGCCACTCAACGCAAGCCCAGCCCACCTCTACTTCAGTATTTAAGAAGGCCGCAGCAGATTGGTTCAGTAGTGGCTATTGGCCCGCCCCCTGTCACCACAACAACCAATCATCGAGCTCACTATGCCGGCAACCCAACAATCAAAGCCCATACTACGCCCAATAAAAACTGAAGGGTTCTCAAGAGGCTTCACCTCCTGGTACTTCCTGCTTCGTGTTGAATTTGGACTCAAGAGAGTTATGTGCACTGTTATTTTAAATAATGTTAGGGATTTAATCAATATATTTGATCAATAAACCCATTTCCTGCCGCTAGAGAGAGAAAAGGAGACAATGAGGCAGACATACAACCAAATCATGATTCGTGGCAAGTGCGCAGGGCAACTGCCCCGAACATCTGGTCACAGAGTTTATTTATACAAAGAGATAATGGGAGTGGATCATGTGTGTGTGTGTGAGAGAGAGAGAGAGTGTGTGTGTGTGTGTGTGTGGGGGGTGGGGGGGCAAGAATGTGTGTGTGTGTGTGTGTGTGTGTGTGTGTGTGTGTGTGTGTGTGTGCGTGTGCGTGTGCGTGTGCGTGCGTGCGTGCGTGTGTGTGTGTGTGTGTGTGTGTGTGTGTGTGTGTGTGTGTGTGTGTGTGTGTGTGTGTGTGTGTGTGTGTGTGTGTGTGTGTGCTCGCGCTCCTCAGTTATGGGCCATTCCCATCTGTACCGGGTCGGCCCGGGCCGGGTAGCCCCAGTCGGCCCCAGCCTGGCCCGGTTGATTCCACACATCCTTGCCTTAAGCCCATGTGGGCTGATTCTACCCACCAATCAGAGGCTTGCTCTAATGGAAGGTGTGAATTTGCTGTCAGCAGTGGGTGTGTTGGCCCTGGTCGGCCTGAAGCAGACCCCCTCGAGAAGAGGGATGAGAATGAGCCTTGGTTGGCCCGGAAAAATACCAGGCCACCCAGATATGTAAACAACCTACGCTACCCGGCCCGGGCCGACCCGGTACAGATGGGAATGGCCCATTAGAGAGAAAGGGGTAATGTTTGCTCCTCAGTATCCAGAGTGATGATGAATCGCTCATGCAGGAAGTCCCCGCTGGCAGATTAAGAGTGAATTTGAGTTGGCCAATCAGTCGGCAGTTGGTTTGTTGGGACGGTTCAGCCTGAAGCAGACCACTTTGGCAAAAGTGCGGAAAAAAAAAAAACAGGCTGCCCGGATGTGGTCACTCAATACCATATCTGGGCTGAGCAAAACAGGTCTGTATGTGAAAGGCCTACAAGCATCACTTATTTAATTTTTTAAATAGTATTTAATGCACCAATATTGCCAATGCACTAGTATTTAAAATGTTCCTCCAATAGTTTTTTTTTTTTTTTTTTTTTTACTGATTTGAGGCTTTGCTAAATGCATGCACCGCAACTGGACTCAAATTTACATGGGCACATTTTACTGGCTCAAAAAGTTGGGGATCATTGGTGATCACGGGAACAGATGAGGAAGATGGAGAAAACAATATATATAAAAACTCTTGCAAAAGCGGTCCAAAATTTGGGACCATTTTGAACTCCAAAGAGGTGAAAACACGATTGCGTGTCTCCACAGATATTTACTCCCGAAGTAAAACAACTTCTATGGGCATAAAAACTTGATAAATGATTCAGGAAAGCAGAAATAAAGTTATTTGTGTTTTTTAATTTTCACTTTAGTTCAGACAATTTAGAATGTGGGGTTTTCATCACATTTAGGTTGTATTTAATTTAAAATATTGTCATTTTTATTAGTTAGATTTAATAGTTAAAATTATTTTTTCTGTCTGGTAAAACCATGTTTCAAGATTGTGCCATTTTCTAAGACAAATAAGTATTATTAATAAATGGCTTATAACACACCACTAATTTTAAGCTTACTGACAACTTTTTTATTTTTTTTACAAAAACACAGTGGGCCACTCGTAGGCTTCTCTACCACTCGGCTAAAGGTTTTCTGTGGGAAACCTGCATCGGGGTTTGGGGCAGTGAAGCTGCACTCTCCTGAAATCTACCCATCATCTCCACTGTCTTCTGGGCGCTCAGCTCCAAGTTGTTGCATCATGACGCCAGATCTTGATAATGATGTTTTATTTTGAAAAATCAATTAGTTCATTTGTTACATATTAAAATAGCACAAGAGATTTTACTTTTACATAATTATTTTTACTTTGGAGAAAAACGTGGTTATAATGCATAAATGTTTATTTGTCATGCTGATGTAATCATCCAAATGACAGCTGGACTCATTCACCTGATTCTCTTTCACCATTTATAGTAACGAATAATCACAAAAACCCATAGCATCCTCTGAATGCACACACTTGTGTTTCAGATCAAATTATTTATGAATCTGAACTGAATCAGAAACTTATTTCAAACAAAAGTAATGTAGATGAAAAGACAACATTGTTAAACAAATTTATTAATGTGATCATTCTTCTGGAAAGAGTTGTTGCTTTACAAATCAAGTTGGTGCTGTTGGATTTCTTCTGAAAGGAGACAGACTACTACCAGGATTTTAAACATCTGCATGTGATTGATCACAAGGAGCTTTTCTTCATGACTCCAGGGTTTTCTAGTGCCTTTGTTCTGCGAGCAACTGCCTCCAAAATCTTCTTCCTGGGTCCCAATTGGATACGAATGCCTTTCAGGTCTTCATCAGAGCAAAGCATGAGTGCCTCCAAGTCCAAGTGCTCTCTGTTGAAAGCAGGAGCAAACTCTGGCAAGGAGATGGAGGACAAAAACACTTCCAAAGGAGAGCTTTCTTCATCTACATCATCATCATCCAATCCCAGATCCTCCTGATCCCAAGGAAGGTCAGTGTCACCTGGGTCGTCAAAGCCATTGGCGTCTTCCTGAGCCCCAAGCAGTTGGTTCTGAACAAAGTAATCAAGACTTTCGTAGTCACGAGGAATGTCCTCGGACTCCACGTTCATCTTCGACATGAAAATCAGACCTCCAAGGCCCGGGCGATTGAAGATAGACTGGTTACCGTGGCCTGGTTCTTCAAAGCCATCATCATCATACTCTGCAGTCTCTCTTCCTTCTAGCTCCCTCTCCTCCTCCTCCTCACTGAAGACATTCAGAAAGTCTGGTTTATCCGAAGTTTCATTCTCTTGTTGTCTAAAGATGACATTCCCACTTCCTGTTTGTTGAAGAGTGCCTTTGTCTTTCATCCCCAGCCTCTTCTGGAGTGTTCCTTTTACCCTGGCAGTAAAAGAGCCCGTTTTCTCTGAAGCAATAAGTTTGGAGTACTGCTCGTTGACTGCGATCATAGACTCTCCACTTGAGAACGTGGATCCCATGCTCGCCTCAGAAACCGAGCCACGCTGCAGTTTATCCATCCTGCTCTGGTGTTGTTTTTTCACCTTCTCGCAGACTTTCACTCTCTTTTCCGCCTCTTTCTGAGCCTCCTTCTTCAGATTTGCCACTCTTTTGGGATTTTGGTTGGTTTGCTGTGCAGCAGCATCATCCAGAAAGCGCACACACTCCATGTGGCCACGAGATGCAGCGACATCCATTGCTGTGTGGTATTCATTGTCCTGAGAAAAGAGATTGGCTCCAAAATTAACCAGAAAACTGATAATGTGCATGTGGCCGTTAGCTGCTGCATGGTGCAGGGGCGTGTTCCCCCAGATGTCACTCTTGTTGGGATCTCCTCTAGATAAAGCAAAAGAGACAAAAACAATAGGAGAGTAATTGATTGTAAATGAGAATCAAACATTAAAGGTTGAATATGGAACATGGACACTCTGGTGTTCAGAGGTGGTATTGCAACAATAGGACAAATTTTCCAGCAGCTGGGATGTTGGTTCACTGCTGACACGTTTCAGCACCCTGTTCCAGTAGATGTAAACATAAAGCCAGTGTCATGCCCAACAAAATAAAAATTTGATTACGCATTTTTCAAATATAGCTTTTAAAGGAGAAACTGTACATTCATCCTGCACCTCTAAATGCCATGTGGGGGTATTATTTAAAAAATATGAAAAGTGTTCCATATTCTAACTTTAAAGTTTAGCTCAACAACGTGTCTTTTGCAGCTCAAAACAGATGCAGAGGAGAAAGGAATGAAAACGAAGTAGGCCTTATTATAGATGTCGAGAAAACCTTGCAAAAACGATAAAACAAAGATTATTATTGTTGTCAGTTAGTAAAATTAATTTTTGTATGAACAAAATAACTTTCATCATGTTTTTTCCAACTCTGATATAAATTAATAATGTTTTCTTCTTTGTAGTTAACATTATCTGTGCAAAAATGTGTATTTGAATAAAAACAAAAAAGTGTTTATATGCAAAGGAAATGATAAATATTGTATTTGAGCTCACAACAGATAGACTTTTACAGCACCATCAGTGGTTAAGTCAGATCGATACTGTTCAAGGTTTAAAATATATATTTTTTTTCAATGAAGGTTGGATAGATTGATTGAAAACAATAATATTTTAAACCATGAACAATATGGATTTAGGACAAAACATCTAACTTCAATGGCAATAATGGCATTAACAGAAAGCCATCAGTAACACTCGCTATAGAGAGCCATGTAACCCTTTATTTATGTTTATGTTTATTTATTTGGCAGACGTACAAAGTGACGTACAATGTTTCAACCTATAGGGCATGTTGTGATCTGTGGGGGAAGCTCACGCATGCATGGGGAGAGCATGCAACTCCACGCAGAAAGTCTGCAACCGAGTTTCGAACCCTTAGTTATTATAACTTTTTTTGCTGATAAACTGAAAAAAATGAGTGTCTAATCATGCTGTAGACATGTGTAGTCAATAATTAGGCACTTTAGTGCATCTTAATTCAAATCTAAAAATTCTGCCAAACTGTCAGTATTGCGCCATCTTCAGGTAAAAACTCAGCACTGCATGTGTATTTTAATCTGCTGTCGTTATTGGCTTAGAGGTACCCTATGACATCAGCTGGTACCATGTGATGTTACAATGCCATTGTGAGCCTGTGTGTGTGTGTGTGTGTGTTTGTTAGCGGCTTCGCCCTCAGGCAACGGCATTTGTTGCATTTTCAAACAGGAAGTGGGAGTGGAGTAAGACTCTGGTAGGGGGTGACTTGCTCTTTAATGTATTTTAAAAAGGTATCAAATTAAATGTATCAAGAAATTATATAAATATGAATTAAGATGGTGTCTGCAAAGTGAGTGTGCAAGTTGAATTTGTTGAGGGGGATGAATTTTATGTTGCTTTAGTAAAAAAAAATAAGATTTTTTTCTTCTCTCTGTTCCTTTTCATTCTTTGTTTTTTTTCTGTGTGTGTTGTTGTAAATATTCCATGTTTTTGTTCTTATTTTCGTCTTGTTCTTTGAAATAAATAAATAAATAAATAATAAAAAAAAGTAGACACACGTTGGTTAAACACGTCTCCATGTATTTAATCTGAGTGTTTATCATTAAGAGCGCTGGCAACATGCTTGTGCTTTGCTGATCAAACTATTTTATTTATAAATGAATGGGAAATATAGTTATTTATTTATTCATTTATTATTATTCTTTACTTTTAGATAACCTTCAAAAAGCAGTCTCTTCACAAATCTCCCTTTGTGTTGTGTAATATAAAAGTAAAATAAAAACCACAATATTATTGTGTTATAACATAATAAGTGTGTTAAAATCAGTGGTTTACAGAATGAGCTGTTGCTATTGAGCTGTTAAACTGGAAGGCCTTTAATGGTTTTCCTTCCTGTTGGAGCCATAAAAGCTTTAATCGCTACAGGAGTTTATTATGAAGCCCAGATCTGACTGGTTCTGATAAAAAGACTTAACTTCTGATTTAGGTCATGTATCAAACATATTCTCTGGGTCTCAGGCTAGATTTTAACCAGTCCTTTGTTGCTGTTAATGGAGCCAAGGTGGGGGTACTGGGGGATAGATGGCTGAATGAAAGGCTCTTTTGTTTTACAGAACAAATTAAAAATTTTGGCTCTGCTCAAAGGAGAATGTGGAAGAAAGATGGAAAACATCAACCGGTGTAAATAAAGTCCCATAAAAATCAATTGAATGAAAAAGAAGCCATAAAACACCTTCTACGGTAACGCTGACCTTTGCTCCTTTGCTGTTATTTATGACTTATTGTTAATCTTAATTTAATTCTCTAGGGAGGAATAATTCATTCGTGAATAGCAGTGATCATAATAACAGACAGAGTTCTGATCCACAAACAGCCTGATTTCAGACTAATCCTGGTTGTATAATAGAAAGTAACTTACTCTCTGCTGCATATGAGCTGAAGAGCGTTGACGTGTCCATGAAAAGCAGCCAGTAGGGTGGGAGTCATCCCATCATCATCTGCGGTGTTCAGGTGCTTCCTTGTTGCCTCCTTCAAGAGGTCCAAGTTACCATCGATCGCTGCCTTGTGGTACCTCGACATCTTTCAAATGAATGTGTTGCTGCCTCCTCTGACCACAGAATTGGAACAGCGATGGCTGACCCGAGCAAACAAAGTGATCACTGGGCGTGTGAGCAGCTGAGCTATAAAACAAAGTCCAGCTTGATGTCGTCAGTTCCTGCTTTAACTATCATCCCTGAAAGCACAAGTATCACAACAGACATGTGACCAGTTAAAGAGAATACCAGTTAAAAAGTTTCCTACATAAGGAACCCAGCAAATTGCATCGAGTCACTAACTAGTGTCAGTGACTTTACAGCAATCCTCATACTAAGCAAGCATTTAGCGACAGTGGAGAGGAAAACTCCCTTTTAACAGGAAGAAACCTCCAGAGGATCCTGGCTCAGCATAAGCAGCCATCCACCACGACTCACTGGGGCTGGAGAAGACAGAGCACACACACACACACACACACACACACACACACACACACACACACACACACACACACACACACACACACACACACACACACACACACACACACACACACACACACACACACACACACACACACACACACACACACACACACACACACACACACACACACACACACACACACACCACACAACATATATACCAAGTAGTGTTTCTATGGTTACATTGTGATTTCTTAGTAAATATTCTATTTGGTGAGAGATAAACTTTATTGTATTTATCCTAGTGAATCTATAATTAAATGGGTAAACTAGTAGTAGCACATTCAATGTCAAAGAAAGTTAAATTGTATTATCAGGAGAGGGAGAATGTTTAAGTGGTTAGCAACAGTGTTCAAGCCAATGGCCCCCTCCATGAGGCCACCACAGCTCAGCAGAACATCATTCTAGCTTCTTCTGGGGAGAAAAACACTTAGAGAAAAAACATAAACAGCTGAAATAGCAGAAAGTAATACAGTTAAAGAGCAAATTGTAGAAGAAAGTTGTAGAGTGTAGAAAGTGGTCAGTGTGTCCTCCAGCAGTCTAAGCCTATAGCAGCATAACTACAGAGATAACTCTGGATAACCTAGCCTTTTAGATGGAGGCATGTTGGAGGCAGGGCAAGGGAGAGTCGTTTTTACCGACTGTACACTCCACCTCCCTCTACTCCCTCACTTGTCCAGATTTGGGCTAACATCAGATTTTAACCATAGACCCTATCAAATAATTTAAGTCCAGTCTTAAAAGTAGACAAGGTGTCTGCCTCATGGACTAAAGCTGGGAGCTGGTCCCACAGGAGAGGAGCCTGATAGCTAAAAGAACTTTCTCCCATCCTATTTTTAGATATTCTGGGAACCACCAGCAAACTTGCAGTCTGAGAGTGAAGTGTTCGGTTGGGAACATATGGAATAATCAGGTCACTTATGGAAGATGGAGCTTGATTATTAAGAGCTTTATGTGTGAGAAGGAGGATCTTAAAATCTATTCTGAATTTAACAGGCAGCCAATGTAGGAAAGCTGTAATGGATCTACGTAGTTAATTATGACCAATAAGATGTGATGATTCCAAATAAATATGAAATATCAACCTAATTGATCTTTGAATGCTTAAACAGAAGAGTTTAGGATTTTTTGCTTGTTTAGGGACCATTAACAAAATTCGTATTAATTCAGGCAGAGTCAAGTATATAGAAAACTAGTTATAATACATGACAAGCTATGAATGATGGTATGTGATGGAGTGTATATGCGGTGACATAATGTGTGTTGTAGGTGGTGTGGTGTAAAGTAGATGTGTATCAGACCCTTTGTATCTAAAAGAAATTGTGAATTCTGGGTGTAAAGAATTTGTGGTCAGCTATAAACTAGAGAGTTGTTTATTAATAAAACAGCATCAGACGCAATCTGGTGTGTCTATAAACCCTGGCAGAGACCCCCAGCAGATCCGGAATGTCAGGAAGTCGGGAGACCTCAAGGCACCGAAGTTCGTAGAATAACCGCAGCGCGACCAGTCCGGTCTCCAGATGTCTCAATTCATTTCATTTCAATTCAATTCAATTCAATTCAATTCAATTCAATTCAATTCAACTTATATAGCGCCAAATCACAACAAGAGTTGTCTCCAGGTCACAACAGCAGCTGGAATGCTTATCTGCGTCCAAAGTGAATATGACTCTTAAGGAGCCGTCTGTCTGTGTCAGCCAGCAGTGTGCCAACAGGTTTGGCTGCGTGTCAAAGAGAAAGGTGTCTCAAGGAGGCTGGTTCCAAATCGGCCACTTCGGAGTTCCGCTCGAAACTGAGTAACTCAGGAAGTCACTCTAGTTTTAATAATCTAGAGTTTATGATTTCTGCGAATCAGAATTTGACGTGTTTGTAGGATTTTCCAAACATCCCTCAGAAAACCACAGCTTCCAGATACAAGCTGTTCTAGCTCTGTGGATAAAGAATCTTTAAACTTTATGTGAGATGACCTTAACCTTAATTTGCATCTAATGAACATTGTGTATGAGTGTAGATAATGATTAACTTGTTAAATCAAACAGTACTGATCATAATATATAAATGGATCATTGTAAGGACAATATTCATGACACAACTTCACTGAATTAGGTGCAAATTATTCAAACATTTCATATAACATCTGGATCATTCAACCATATGATTATTTAACTTATGAGTTGTAAAAGTTCACTTTTCATTCAATGTGGAGTCCAGCAGTCTGAGATAAGTTTAACAATCTTGTCTTCATGGCTGTCAACAAGCACTGCAGAATATTCTGGGTGTTAGAAGATAGAATAACAAATCCACCTAGATAGTGGACTTATTTCTGTAGATGACCAGTCATGTAGGTCAATATATAGGTCAACATCGACCCTTTCTGGACGTTACAAAGCTAAAGCAGAAGTAGCTCAGGTGGTAGAGCGGTTTGCCTCATGATCGGAGGGTCATGGGTGTGATTCCAGCTCCCGCCAGGGGTACCCTGCTGTTGTGTCCTTGGGCAAGACACTCCACCCAACTTGCCTGTGTTAGTGGTGGTCAGAGGGGCCGACGGCGCCAAATGGCAGCCTCGCCTCTGTCAGACCTCCCAAGGGCGGCTGTGGCTACAAGTAGCTTACCATCACTAGCAGTGTGTGAATGTGAGAGTGTGTGAAAGCGTCTTTGGGTGTCTAGAAAAGTGCTACATAAGTTCAATGCATTATTATTATTATTATTATTATTATTATTATTATTATTATTATTATTATTATATGATCTCTCCTTCTAATTCTCATCAGAACTCTAGCTGCAGCATTTTGGACAAGCTGAAGACTTTTAACTACATTCTGTGGACTTCCTGAGAGTAATGAATTACAGTAATCCAGTCTTGATGTAGTAAATGCATGAACTAGTTTTTCAGCATCTCTCCTGGAAAGGATGCGCAATATTCCGAAGGTGGAAAAAGGAAATCCCAGAAACCTTTTTAACATGGGATTTGAATGACATGTCCTGGTCAAAGATAACACCAATGTTCTTTACTTTGTTCTCGGAGACTAATTTAATGCCATTCAGGTCAGGTGATTGACTAAGCAATTTCCTTTTCTGAATTTCGGGTCCAAAGATGAGAACTTCAAATTTCCAAAGCCAAGAGGCAAGCAAAAGTGACATAATTCCTTGTCGAATAAACAAAATAATGGTTTGGCTCAAGGAAGTTTAAATGTATGAAAAGGAAAATACCATGAATGGTGGTTATAATTTGATTCACATCTTTATTAGTTCATATAATGCCAAACATTATGTATGTTCTAAAGAATAATGACAGATGAGAGATCTTGCCTTTCAGCTAACACATATCCTAGAAAAATTAGCTACATTTCCTTTGAATTTTTTGGAGGAAAAAAACAGGCATGTTTATTTTATTCACTGCTATATTCATAAGTGTACATCACAACATAGTATCAATAAGCCTTTTTATGGCCTTTTTATTATTTCAATATCACGCTGTATGAAGATCAAGATGAAAGAACGCCCCTGTAGTTTACTCTCCAGTCCTGCAGGTGGCGCGCTGCGTGGGTTGTTGTTAACTGGATTAAGCAGAAGAAACAGCCGGTCCGGAAGTATTGTTGCATTATGCTTTCGCTGCTTTCATTCCTCCGGGTCTCAGGTGTTAACAGCATCATGGAGTTGTGAACATTTTGTCTTATTTCCCAGTTATTTCTACCGCTTGACCAACCTGACCGACTGGTTGTCACCACCCGGGATACTCTTCGGTTACTTCCTGCTTGGTTTCGAGTTTGTCAGGTTTGACCGGGATATTGTGCAGAAATGTCGGAGAACGGTGGTCCTGTCGTCGGCCTTCTGTCCTACGAGACGCTGGTTCATGCGCTGGCAGGAGCAATGGTGAGCAGAGTGTCTTGAGCCTAAGAAGATAATAAATACATGTTTCCATGGTGATAACAGAAGTTAATGCTGTCTTTTTGTCTCGCAGGGGAGTGTGACAGCCATGACTGTCTTCTTTCCTCTGGACGCAGCAAAAAGCAGACTACAGGGTGGGTTTAGGATGATGAACCAGAATGTAACTCTCTACTGCATAATGAAGCAGCTGTAACTATCAGAAGGCTGGATGATAACTTCATCACAGATCAGCAAACAGACATTTAATTTAGGCCTGTTTAATGAGTTTCTGACAGGTAAATCATTGCCAGGTGAACATTCTTGTTCAAAGCTTCAGTCACAGATTAAAAGCAGGCAGAGATAACTGCCAGGGAATTGTCCTCCTCATGTCCACTCATGTAAACACGCCGACTCCTCCTAGGCCCAAGGGGCTTGAGCCATAAATTCTTCTCATTTTTGTTTTAGTGGACGACACACGAAAGTCCAAGTCTACACCTGTGATCCTGGCTGAGATAGCGAAAGAAGAAGGCCTGTAAGTTACAAATACTAATCGGTTGTTTTGAATTTGCGGCGCCGTAGTTGTTTTACACCTCTGCACCACCTCTCCCAGTCTGTCCCTGTACAGAGGCTGGTTTCCAGTCATCTCCAGCCTTTGCTGCTCCAACTTTGTCTACTTCTACACCTTCAATGCTTTAAAGAAGGTGGCAGCATCCGGACCAGGAAAACCCAGACCCAGCAAAGACCTGCTGATGGGGGTTGCAGCTGGTAAAAGTCATCAAACACTTTCTTGGCAGATAGTTTATTTTTATTATTTGCTTTTAAACCTGTCTACATTTGAAAATGTCTGCTTGTGCAGGAGTTGTGAACGTGATCCTGACTACGCCCATGTGGGTGGTCAACACCCGACTGAAGCTTCAGGGGGTGAGGTTCAGAAACGAAGACCTTAACCAAACCCAGTACCGAGGCATCTTTGGTGAGTAGGATACGTCTTCCAGCATTTCAGATGGGCTTCTTCTTATTCTGTAGAGTTAAGACATTCTGGATTCTGGATTTCAGACGCTTTTTCACAGATTATTTCTAACGAGGGAGTGGGAAGTCTGTGGAACGGCACTCTGCCATCTCTAATTCTCGTTCTCAACCCGGCCGTGCAGTTCATGATCTATGAAGCCATGAAGAGGAAGACAGGAACTGGAGGAAGAAAGGTGAGAGGACACAAGACGGGTTGCTTTAATGTTATAATCCTCTAGAAAAAAGTCTTCTGATAATACCTGAAGTTAATTATTTTTATTTCTGTTATTAAAATAGAATGATTTCAGTGCTTTTTCTTTCCAAATTGTTTTTTGCAGTTTAAATATCATCTGTGCTTCCTCATTTATGATTTCTATGGAAGAGTATTAGGGCCACGAAAACAAGAGAATTCTGACTTTAATAATCCTGAAAAAAAAAGAGAATTCTGACTTTAATAATCCAGAAAAAAGAAAGAGAATTCTGACTTTAATAATCCAGAAAAAAGAGAGAATTCTGACTTTTCTGGTCTCCTTTGGGTCCCTGTGCTCTGGGGCAGCTCCTGAATCTCTGGGACTTGGAGCTCCCTCCATCTCCTACACATCTTGGGGGGGGGGGGGGGGGGGGGCAGATCTGTAGCCCCTCACACTCTATTGGATGCTCCCATAGAGAAACCTTACATAAACAAGCGCATGTACACACACAGGTGCTCACATGGTGCTCTCATAAGTATGGACTTGGGCACGTTCAACACAGGTCTTAAGGCTGTGGTTGGCACTAAATGCACTGTGATTTATTAGCGTGTGATTGTTCAGTAAAACGATGTTGATTATTTCTTCATCAAGTTGACGCAGTGATAGTTTGCTCCTGTTGTATTGTTGTGTGTCCCTTTTCTGCAGGTCTAGAAGCAGACTCTTGTTCAATCATTGATTTTTTATTTTTGTGGAGCCCCCCCCTGTCTCTTCCTTTTTCCTTCACCTCTGTCTCCGTGTCTGGTCAAAATTATAAAGCATTAAAAAAACAATAACAATAAAGTTTTAAGTATCAGGTGTGATATTAGAGCAGAAGCTTTGATGCTCCACCTGAGAGTAAATCTGTAAGGCTTGTCACCAGCATTCATACATCAATTCTGTTTGCCTCACAGTCAGACAGGACACGAGAAAAGAAGAGAATTCAGACTTTAATAATTCTGATAAAAATAGAAAATTCTGACTTTATTAATCCTGAAAAAATAGAAAATTCTGACTTTAATAATCCTGAAAAAATAGAAAATTCTGACTTTAATAATCCTGAAAAAATAGAAAATTCTGACTTTAATAATCATGAAAAATAGAGAATTCTTTCTTTTTTTTCAGTGTCCCTAATCGTCTTTTGTAGATTTCATCCCCTCAAGTTCCCTTTTTTGTTATTTCATATAATAATAATAATAATAATAATAACTAGAAAATTTCTGGTGACATTTTAAAAAGAGACCTGCCCACTGGCACAAGATTGTGGCCATGTGTCAAAACCCCAAATCCTGATATTCATTGGGGGTCACCCAAATATCAGTAAATCGGAAGTAAATCGAATTGCTTATAAAAGTAAAAGCACACCTCCCACAGCTAAGCCAGTCGCTTTGATGTAAAATGTGCGGGGGTGCATGCAGCCGTTCAAGCCGCATTAACTACTGCAGAAGAAGAAGAATAATGGGAGCAAATCCTCCGGTGCATAACAACAAGGGCAGGGCTCTTAATAATTACAATTTAACTACTTTCAGAATTTCTAGCCGTCTTTGTTTGTGTCTTGGCCAATTATCATGGTTTTGTTTATTTTTTGTATTTGTTCCACATGTATTTGCTCTAAAGCTCTTGGTAGATCAACTCTATGAAAAGTGCTTTATAAATATATTTTAACCGATAATGAAAAATCTGTTTGAATGTGTACCACCACAGGTTTTGGTGATTTGATATTGTTGGATGATTCCATTTATGCCACACATCCAATAAAGACTCAAAATGTTTGTCTTTTCTCACAGATATCCTCTGCAAAAATCTTTCTCATTGGAGCTGTTGCCAAGGCCATTGCTACCACGGCAACATACCCGCTGCAAACAGTTCAGGCCATCCTGAGGGTAAATACTTGAACTAAGAAAGCATGCTTTATTACTCTAAACCCTAAAACCACAGGTGATTCCGGTCTTCTTAAGAGAATAATTGATGCTTTTCTTTATCAGTTCGGTCAGTACAAAGGTGATGGACAGAGCGGCCCGATGGGGAGCCTCTCCACAATTTTTATCCTGTTCATGGAGAGGATCAAGTGAGTACAGCTGTGCATCGATCCACTAACACATCCCATTTCCATAAAGATCATCTGCCATTGTCGTTTACGCAAGCTATTTGTTGCAGGAAGCACGGCTTTTTTGGTCTGTACAAAGGTTTGGAGGCCAAGCTGCTGCAGACGGTGCTGACGGCCGCCCTCATGTTTGTGGTTTATGAGAAGATCACTGCTGCTACCTTCAAGGTCATGGGTCTGAAGAAGCTGAAGCACTGAAGGCAAAAACAGCCTCAGGACAGCAGGTTTAATCAGTGCCTACTGCTACTGATCAACATTAACAGTTCCCCTGCAAATGCACTGAAGCACAGCCTGAAGAGTGGACCGCTTCCATGTTTACTGACCAGAGGAAAATTTAAAACTTTGAAATAATCAATAACTTTAGCCACTTCCATCCATCCACCTGTGTCTTTTTTTTTCTGTCAGCTTTCAAAAATAAAATAGAAAGCCCCTTTAATGTTCCTCAGTGGGGAAATGTTCTAACGACTGTGCCGACATGGCACCAATCAGACGCCGATGTCGGAGAAGTTTTATTTGTCCTGAAGAGCAAAAGATAAACGTAGCACATCCCAAAATATGTCCTAAAAGTGAGAAACTGAGGGATGAGGTGGGTGAAATGTTTTATTTCTGATTATAAACAGAAGTGCTTTCTAGCTTTAAAGGGGTCGGTTTTAATGTCCTTCCATGCAGTTTTTATTATTTGCTGCATATTTAGTTAGGAGGAAATCGGTGATATTAAATAATCCGAAACATGATTTAGACTAAGAGGACCTGGCCTTATGATCTTAAGAGCATTCCTCTTGTTTTTATGCTTTATTATTATGATTATGACCCATTAGGAGTCAGAAACCTGACAAGGTAGACAGAGATGTTTATTGTGTATTATTACAGGAAGTGCCTGAAGATTAACAGCTTGAAAAACATTTACGTTGAAGTCATTAAATGTGAGTTTTGTGTTCTTGTAATTGTACCGAACATTTTACATGTTTTCACTCAGCTGTCTTTCAGTTTGGTGCTGGATTGATCACTTTCTGATTTCTGGAGCTTTTTCTGCCTTTTACCTTTTATAATCCACCAGATTAGCTCATTTAGCTGCTGTTTCTATTAGGTTTGAATTATAACCAGTCATAAACTGTTTATGCAGCAGAAGTTGTAAAAACTGGAACATTTCAGTTTTCATACACTTTTGTTAAGATTTACAAGAACAGAAAATCAGAAGTCAGTTGCACTTGTATTTATTTCAAGTTTTTAATGTTTGCATAAAAAAATCTGTTTCTTTAAAGAGCAAGTCAACCCCTGCCAGATTCTTACTCAACTCCCTCTTCATGTTTGAAAAATGCCACGAATGCTGTTGCCTTGCAGACCGAGAGGGCGGAGCCGCAAACCAATACACACACACACACAGGCTCACAACGACATTGTGACATCATAAGGACCAGTTTACATCATAGCATACCTCTTAGCCAATAGCAGTGGCAGATTTAAATTCAAATGCAGTGCAGAGTTTTTACCTGACAACGGCACAACACTGACAGTTTTAGGCAGAATATTTAAATTTTAACTAAGAGGCACTGAAGTACCAAATTATTGACGACACGTGTCTGCGGCACGATTAGACACACAATTATGTAGTTTATCAGCAAAAAAAAAAGTTGATTTGGGGGCGACTTGCTCTTTAATGGTTACTTGACATTTTTATACATAATTGTTTTAAATATCTTTGTTTTGTTTGTTTTTTTATTAACCAAATGTTTTCTGGGAATTAATTTATTGTTTTAACAAGGGAAAATAAAATCTGAGTATTAATATTAAAGCTTGTTTATTTAAATGACCACATGCACAGAAAACAATTTTACAAACACACATAAAAAGATCTTTAAAAAGTTACATTGATGTCTTTGTTCTGGACTTTTAAAATGACCACAATCTGAGAAGGCTGATGTAAACACCAACTCAGGGTTGATGGTGCGAGTCCTGACAGCTGCCCATGGCCTCAACGTACCACAAGGGTAGGAAGGAAAAGCAGGAGTCTCTGTGGACTGAGTAGGTCACATCTTTGAGCGGCTCCCAGGAGACCAGGTACACCACGCTGAATTGTGTCATAAAAAACAAACTTAAACATGTATTTGCAAGAAATTACAATATTGCAGGATGTGTTTCAACATCACTCACCTAGGGTTGTCTTCAGTAGCTATACGCTTGAGAAAAGACAGAAAATCACAGGTGAAATTCATGCAGACTGTTGGCTTCCAGCAGTTGGGTTCATTCTGTAAAAAGAGCACAAATCCACAGAATTATAAATATGTTGTGTCGGTTCTGACTTGAAGACCAAAGCCTCCAACAGAGTTTACCTTGATGAGCTGTGAAACTTTAGCGATGGGGAAAGTGTCGACAGAAACGACAGTTCCATCACGATCCCTGAAACCCGCCACAACACGAGGTACTCCAGGGAGAAAAGACTGAGCCCACCACTTGAGTAGTTTGAACCTAATAAATCCACCAAAAGGTGAGGCACAAAATCAGCATTAATGTGAAATCGGCATGAAAATGGTGGGACAATGACCTGTGTTGCCAACCTGTGGAAGTTACTGTGCTGTTTGGGTGTGCATATCTCAGCAGAGGTCTTCAGCTCTACATAACAGGCAGGAGGAGGGACGCTGGGGTCCTTATCCCGACAATCCACCTCACCGGAGAACAGGAGTTTGTGATCTGTGAGTCGAGTCTGAACCACGGTGCAGAAGGCCTCGTTAGTGTTGACCACACCGCTGGAGTCCGGCAAACCGTGGGCGTTATCTATAGATGCAAACAAACATAAATTAGATATAAGAGTTAGAAATAACTTTCTAGTGATAGAATTATAAAACAGACAAGTTTGTAAAAAATGAAACAGGCTCCACAAAGGCCAAATGAAAACCAGCTCATGTAGCTGAGTTGATAAGGCATTGATAACCAGTGTCGGAGAGTAACTGAATGCATGCATTTAGAATAATGAAGATGAATAACTGTATTCAGTTACAGTTACTATTTTTAAACATGGTATTTAGAATACAGTTACTTTCGTAATACCACTGGATTACTTGCGTGTTTTCCACTTTTCACTCGAAAGATGAATTAATTTCGGGCAACATGTGTCTCTGTGTTATGTAGGCTATCTACCCCATAATGCCCCTAAACAATGTGCCTCTGTAACTATAGTAACACTATGGCTGAAACCATGATAAGGCTACACCCCGAGTAGTAACATGGAGGTGGAGTGGGTGAAGCCACAACCGCAGCCAAATCAACCTACTAGCAGTGAAAGAAAAAATGCATTCACTTCCTGGAAATTCAAGAAATTTTTCACTGTAAAAAAGGAGCGAGGTGCCTGAAATCTGATGGTGCGGTGCAGTCTTTGTCTCCCAGCTAACAACCTACTAGATGAGTCCAAAGACTCAACATCTAATCTGAAGAATTGTTTTATTTTCCCAGTCAGTTCATTTTGTTTAGCATAAACATGTCCTCTGTTTTCCTGAAGGAGCAGCTAAAGTTAAAGTCAAAGTTAAAGTCCCATTAGTTGTCACACACAGGTGTGTGTGCGAAATTTGTTCTCCGCATTTGACCCATCCCCTGGGGGAGCGGTGAGCTGCAGACACAGCCGCACTCGGGAACTATTTGGTGGTTTAACCCCCAATCCAACCCTTGAATGCTGAGTTTCAAGCAGGGAGGCATTGGGTCCCATTTTTTCAAAGTCTTTGGTATGACCCGACCAGAAATCGAATCCCTGATCTTCCAGTCTCAGGGCGGACGCTCTACCACTAGGCCACTGAGACCGGCTACCAACGCACATTGTGATATTTAATAGACTTCTATACTGATTTTAAGGGGAAGTATTCCAAGTATTTAGAATACAGTACCAGGATTAAGCAAAGTAATGGAATACATTACAAAATACATTTTAAAGCAGGTAATCAGTATTTTGTAACTAAATAAATTTACAAAGTATTCTCCCCAACACTGCTGATAACCCAGCGAGATCACTTAAATATCTGAATGAAAACTGAACTAGGGTAACTGATCACCCACCTACCTGCACACATGTACTGCTCAAACTTGTATCCCCAGTACATCATCTTATGGTTCCACTCAGGGCGGTTCTCCCGATCCCTGCGAGCAGCTTCTGTTTCCACCTCACTGATGTATAGTGTGTCCTTAAACTTGGTCACCGCGAGTAACCAACCATCTCGAGTCTCGTATGGTGTGGTCAGCAGTTTGGTCAGATGGCCTCTCCATGTCACAAAGTCAAAATCTAAAGCACTAAAAGGAGCAGAGGTTGGTCAAAACACAGGTTTCCTCCCACCAAGTATAAACAACCAAAGCAATGTCGATATTCTTGGAGGATAGTGAAAAAAAATAGAAGTATATTTGATGCACAATCATTTTTGTTGTTTTACACATCAAGTAGATGGAAAGAATGATCAAATCATGAATGTACTTTTTCCTAAAATGGCTGAATAAAATCCCCCAAGAGAACTGGCGCTGCTGTTTGCTAGTAGTTGTATTTAGAGAAGAAAAAACATCAGTAGTGCAGCAGCAACACGCACTGTGAGGAGGCCTTTGATTTCAGCTTCAATCTGTTAGCTAGAATCCATCGGAGAATGTGGTCCAGCTTCTCTTTCACACTTTCATCTCTCTTTACGTAGCGGTCCTCGTACCCATCCCGCAGATCAAAATTAGGATTTTTGTCAGGCTCCACATAGTATCTCATCTGTCTGCCGTCATTGAAAAATCTGCGCTGAGCATCGAGAGAGAAGCATCCCACTTCCACTGGCTGTTTGTACAAAGGGAAGTCTCTTTCATAAAGCTCCTTCCTTGTGCTCAAAGTTTGGGAGGTGAGTGGGTTTTGCTCTGGTGTTGACCCTGACTGCCACTGGTGGTGATTTCTGGGTCTGAGGAGTGAATTGTCACAGCGGCCTTTTCTGTCGTTTCGATCTCGGGTGTATACTGACTGGCGGTGGTGGGAACCAGAGAAGGGACGACGGGATCTGTGGTGATCCATTCCTAAACAGAGATGAAAATCATAACATTAGTTCTGATGGATTGGAAGTTCAGAGGCTGATCAGTGAATAACCACTGCTAAATTTTTAGGGAGTTCATTGTCTCTTCAAGGCTGAGAGAACAAGGTATGACTGGGTGAGTTACAGTTAGAGATTTCTGGTCAGGCTGAAATGCAACGACTAATTATCCAGCAAAGTTCCAGGATTTAGACGAAAACAACTTTAATCAAGACTCGTTTGTGGAGGAAAATAACTTCATTTTACTTTGTTTAGACAATAATATTTGTAGTTTTTTTGGTAGTAATTCTGATCTTAGACAAAGTTCCAGTCGTCAATATTCTGTACAAAACCCTTAACATTTATTTACTATGTGTAAAGTTTTGATTAATATGGCTACGTGCATCTAATATTTTTTCACTTTGTTTCTATAAAAAAGCATGTGTGTAAATCAATTCCAGTTATTTGTCTTGTGAAAATACATTAGTTAATGTAAAATGACTAAAAACCCACCTCTTCGCCAAGGTACTCAGCAAAAACTGCTTGTTCTCACTCTTGCTGGAATTAAAAAAAACTATCATAAGATAACATGTTAGTCATAAAAATATGACAACCTTTGGTGGGTAAAATGGTAATCCTATGTTTTACTAACTCGACAGCTAACTAGCAACCAATGCTACAAACATGACGCCACTTCCGCTCAAGTGGCAGAAGTATCGCGAGACTTAACCACAGCATCACAACAACGAAGGAAGACGCTTAAAAAACATTCATTGTGGGCTTGAGAAGTCCCAGGCTTTTTATGTGAACAAAAATATGCAAGTTAATCATTAATGTCAGCAATTATCAGGTAATTATTTGTAAAAGCAAACATTTTCACTTTAGCTGCTGTCGGTTAACAGCGTTAGCTTAGCCAACCATGAAACCTTGAAATATTTACAGCTAAGTTTTAAAGGTGTGAGAACGGTCCTATACACGTTCTGTATAGATTTAGGTTTTGGTCGAAAATGAAGTCCTGAAAATCCAGAATTTTCTTTTCACCCGTGCTCCAGGCATGAACAGGAAACGAGCTCTCATTTCAGACACTTTCAACCTGAAGAAAAGGAGAAAAGTCTCCGAGAAATTTGGAGCTGGTAACGACAAGGATGGTGAGTTTGATAAAAACCCACTAACACGTTTGTAGACATCAAAAACAATGTCTCTTTTGTCCATGCTGTGCTTATTTTCACCCTTAAAGAGCCAAAAGACATCAAATCCACCTTAGAGTACCTTATGACGCTTTTTCCAAGAAAGCTTTTCAATGACACCTTGCCTCAAGTGGTGTTGAAGCATCAGCTGTACAGCATTCACAATGACAAAACCTTGGTGGACAAGGAAGTGGTAAGAAGGCTCTTCAGTTTATGAGTGGATTTCTTTAACTACAAAATACAATTCAACAACCTTGTTTTAAGCAGAATAAACTGCGCGAATGTGGAGAGCTGCTGATGTTTCAGCTGGGATTCGACTCCGAAGCCTTTGGTTTGGTTTTTACATCAGACTACAAGACCAAAGTGCTGGCAGGCGAGGAGGGGAAAGGGACCAGAACAACGGTGGAGAAGTTTTTGGAAAAAGTCTTGCCCTCATGCACCGATCTGAGCTTCAGCAAAGACAAGATGCTGAAAGTGTTTCTCTTCACGGACTCTGAGATAACGTATGAAAGAACCCTGCAGTGCCCTTTCCAAATACTGAAGTGAATGTCTGAGTTCAAAGTTAAAGTTTGAGAACGAGGAGCTTTGTATGAGATTTACGGTGAAGATTTGAAATGTTGTATGTTTCCATGTTCTCTTTCTGTCCAGGCAGTTGGTGAAATCAGGCGTCCTGACGGTGAGAGAGGCTGGCAGCTGGTGGCTGTCCATTCCCAACTCTGGCAAATTCACAAAATACTTTATACAAGGTTGGTGTTTCTCTCACTGTTGATCAGTGCTTCATCATTTTCCATTTGGGCCGAGCTCCGACTGTAGCCACAGCCACGAGGGCGCGCCAGTAGCCACAAATGGCTGTGACTGCTATCCCGTAGCTATGAGAACAGCCAATAACTACAGCTATGAATTGCTGTGACAGCAGCCACTGCCCGGACAGACTCCTTTACGTTAAAGGTTTTGCGATAGGTCAACACTTAAGCATTGTTTTGGCAGTTTATAAGTACAGTAAATGAAAATTTTGTTCATATTTGAAACTTTGTTCATATTTGATGTTTAATGAATGTATTTGGTGTTCTTTGAACTCGTGCTCCATCATTACGCTAACATGGCTGTGCGCTGCTCTGCCTGTGGCACAGTAGCTGTGGTCTTAGCAGTCAGCTGCTATGCTAGGCCTGGGCGATAAATCGATTTAATGAATTCATTTGAATTTATTGTTGCGGGCGATTAAAAAAAAATAAAGTAAATCGAATTTTCATGTAACAACGCCTTTTTGGCCCCCCTGAGCTTCGGTAGAATTAGTTTTAAAAAACCGCGACAACAACGTCACAGCACTCTAGTGATGGGAATTCCGGTTCTTTTGGCTCAGCTCACCAAAAAGAGCCGGCTCTTTCGGCTTCCAAGTGGCTCCTCAGATTTTCTGTTGCGTAGAGTACATTTATAACCAAAATAATGCAAAACTATATGTAAAATTATTTACTAATATAAAAATAATGCAATATATCAAATGGTTTCTATGGAATTAAATAACTGAACACTTTGAGAAATCTCCACTTTCCGACTGCTGGCGCTCATTTTCTCAACATCTTCATCGCACTCTCTTCTCTCGCTCGCCTTTTTCCTCCTCCTCATTCCCTCTCGTCTCCCTCCACCCGCATGTGCTCTGCTGTGTGTCTCTGAGTCTGATCCTCCCTCTTCCCCGCCCCTACTGCTCTGTGTGTGGACAGTCTGGACACGCAGTCACACATGTTGACCAATTGCCTGTAGCTTTCACCAAAGCAAGAGGGGAGAGGGGAGGGGACGGCTCCCAGTGACGAGCCGGCTCCCGTCGTTCACTTCAAAGAGCCGGTTCGTTCGCGACCGACACATCACTACAGCACTCACACGAAACAGCAATAGCAAGCGACTCCATGGCCACCGGTGAGAGTGGGAAGTTTGTTCCTAAGAAAGGAATTATATCATCCGTTGTTTGGAACTGGTTTGGGTTTGCTGCGATGGACATGGAGCGTGGCACTTTTATTCCAAGAGGGTGTTCATTTATTCATTATTCATCTCAGATGAGGGTTACATTTGTCTTGCTTGTGATTAAATAAAAAACAAAATTGGCTTTAAGGTGCCTTCCATTTGTACTTAGTGGTATTCTTAAAGGGACTTTATGGAGTTTTGAATTTTTATGCTCGCGATTGCCCCCTCAGGCCAAAAGCGTAACGGCAGCTTCAATAGTAGGTTCGTGCATGAGGCGTGCATGCTGTATGTGCACACTCCTTAACGAAAATAACAGCTGAGACAGTCCCTTGTGTGTGTGTGTGTGTGTGTGTGTGTGTGTGTGTGTGTGTGTGTGTGTGTGTGTGTGTGTGTGTGTGTGTGTGTGTGTGTGTGTGTGTGTGTGTGTGTGTGTGTGTGTGTGTGTGTGTGTGTGTGTGTGTGTGTGTGTGTGTGGCCTGGAGGACAGAGGACAGGAGAACGCGCAGCTAATTATTTAAATAATTTGGTTCTGTACCTTTCTCTTCAGCACAGCCGACAAAGGTTTAAGATGGGTCAGTCCTCCTGCATGCTCAGATCATTCCCTTCCCTTTGAACATCTTAGGTGTGTTCTTGCTGTGTCTTTGTAAATCCATGCTTTCGTTCTTTTTTAAACACAGAAACAGTTTTGTTTACCTGTTTGTAGCTACGGTTTCGCCGACAGCTGCCCGCAGATAAACGGAGAAGGAAGTGACGCGCCACCATCAGCATCAGCCTGAAGAAGCCGGCAGCTGTCGGCGAACCCGTAGCTACAAACAGGTAAACAAAACTGTTTCTGTGTTTAAAAAAGAACGAAAGCATGGATTCCCTTCCCTTGCTTGAAAAATTGTTCCAAAATGAAAGTTGAACCCACATCTTTTTTATCTGTGAATTCAATGCCGTTCAGCGAGTCTCAAATAAAAATTTGGGCATCTTACTGTAAAAAAAATATATCATTAATGTAAAAGGGAAACTCTAAAACAACTATGTTCGCATCCAGAATCGAACCTGGGTCTCCTGCACGAAAGTCTGACGTCTTAACAGGCGAGCTAAAGCGCCAGTGACATCCTTTGTATCTGTAACATTAATATTCTTGATGACAGCTGAAATAACGTTCAAAGAATGGTTCGGAGGGCTATGCCTGAGCGTGAACGCGCATGAAGCAGCCTGCTCGACCCGAGCAGCTCTCTTTTTCTGTGATTTTACAGAAAAACAGGCAATTCCAGTAAAAATGCCAGGGCTCATTCTACAGGACCAGGGCATTGCAGGAGAATGTATGAAGAAGAAATTTATTATTTCTATACATGTTTTGGCTGTCAAACTTCCATAATGCCCCTTTAATAATTGAGGGGAAGAGAGAATCGGAAAAAAATTGTAAATTGAATTAAAAAATATATAATCGGAGATTTTATTTTTAGGCCGCATCACCCTGCCCTATGCTATGCTCATGGCACATTGGCTGTACCCATAGCCACGGTGGCTGTAGTTATAGCCACAATGGTTGTAGTCACAGTGATTCATAGCTATAGCCATTGGCTGTTCTCATAGCTACGGGATAGCAGTCAAAGCCATTTGTGCTACTGGCGCGCCCTCGTGGCTGTGGCTACAATCGAAGCTCGGCCTACCCCTCATTTCATTACTATTTGTTTTTGTAGGAGGTTTGATTTTCTAATTCTCCCCTGTAAGGTCGTAAAGCCGTGCTTGGTATGGTGAGGAAGTCCAAATATGGTGAAGTGTTACAAGCAGATTTAGAAGAGCGACGAACGACTTCACAAGTGAAATTCCCCCTGAGATATCATGTCCATGACATTGTTGGGGCGGAGCTGGTAGAAAGGTAACATTTTAAATCCAAGCTTATTTCTGTAGTTTACTGTAAAACAAAACAACCCTTGTTACATAACTGAGTCATTTGTTTTTACAGTACATGGACACAGATAAAAACACGTGTTTACTGGTTAAGTCAGTTGTGATAAACATGCCAGTTTTAATCACACAAGCCTGGAAAATGCATGTGACTAAAGCACCTTAACCCTTTAAAGCAGGGGTGCCCAATCTTGGTCCTGGAGGGCCACTATCCAGCATGTTTTAGTTGTTTCCCTGCTCCAACACATCTGATTTTAATCATCGGGTGATTAACGGGCTTCTGCAGATTCAGATGATTCAATCACTGAAACAAGTATGTTTGAACAGCGGAACAATTAGAACATGCATAATATTGGCAAATTTAGTTGAAGAGTTTAATGTATAAAATATGCATGTAGAGCTGGGCATTGATAGGCTTTGAACAATTCCAGTTCCTCGTTCCCATTCCGGTTCCTAACCATTCCCGATTCTGATTCTTTCAAGTGGCAGGATCCGAAAACATTACAAGTTTTAAACGTGCTAGCTAACCACAGGCCTTACTTGGTGAAATAATCTGAACTTCAACATGAATTTTAAGTCTAACAATAACGTCCCCTTCATTTAGATAAAAACATGTTTTCAAGAAAGAAAGAAAAAGACTCTCAGCACAATCGGTGTGCTTTTTTCTGACCACAAAGTGTGGGAACTGAAGGCCTTAGGATGGGACGCTAAACGTCTTCAAGATGACCAGAAAAGTCCAGCAGTTTTCACCTAAAACTCTCAGGATGATCATGTCCAGGGTGACTGAGAATCTACACCTACCGCAGCAACGATTCAGTCAGAAGGAAAACTGAATCTTCCATGTAGCTGCTGTCAGTAACAATCGGCTCCTATAACCCGGTGTCCGTCGTTCATCACAGAGAAGCTGCTCTAGCGTGATGACTTTAATTATTCTACAGCTTATTGCTCAGCTTCTGACGCTCACACCGACGGATGTTGGTGAGTGGCTGCGTCTGACTGATGACGCTCCGTGTGTGTTTTTATTTCTGCAGAGAGACAAACTCCTCTCACACCGCCCGGAGTTTGTTCTTTGAAACTTGTATTAAATCCACCGTGCTGACGCATTTTAACGAGACTCCTCCGTGCCGTATTTTTCGCTGCAGGATTCAACGCTTGCATCACAGAGTGAAAGTTCGGCAAACGCGTTTGTTTACGTTTTTGCCGCTGTGCGCTCAATCCTATATGCGTGGGATGTAAAATTAGTCATTTTAAGAGTAAAAACGGATAATTTCCAATACATTTTATTGCCGGTATTGGCCCATAATATCTAACATCCCTTATAAATCGGCCTCATATTAGAAAAATCAAAACAAAAAAGGTTAAACTCTTCATCAGCAACCTGCTGTTGTGACAAAATTCACTCAAGGGCCACAAATGGCCCCCGTCCCACACTTTGGACAAGCCTGATGTAAACAAAAGAAACGGTAATAAATAATATTGAAATAATTTAAATATCCCTTATCACCTGCTGTACCTAAATCTTCCACCGTAGGGCAGAAGAGGCATATCTTCATGTTGGACGTAGAGCTTTTAGAAACAGAAATAGGCAAGTCAGATATGATCGCTTTAGCTTTAAGGGGTTTAAGTAAAGATAATCCTTGTTTAGTAATGAAGATGTCTGTTTCTTTTCAGCATACCTACAACATCTGGGACTTTGCTGCGATTTGTGGATTCCTGAGTTGTTGCTGATTAAAACATTAAAATGTTGCTCAAAATGATCAAAGACTGTAGAAAGAGAGAAATGACTTATGATTATAAGATGTAAAGTCTGTGTCCAATGCACTTTAAAGCCTTATGGAGTCACGAATTGTCAATTTTATTGACATGGCATTGAGTTTTGGTTTTTAATAAAAAATGATTTGAAATGTGTCATTTCCCTTCAACGTGAGAAGTCACAACTTGTGCTAAGAAACTGCAAACCTCATCACGAGTTTCAAACAAGTCTCAAAACATTTGCAAGAGATGCTAAACACGCCATTGTGGGCTGCAAGGACTTGTTCCTGTTTTACTGGAATTTTGATCACATCCCAAAAAATTACAGGACAAAAATTTCTGCTTAGATTAGCCACTATGGTCCGCTAAAGTATCTCTGCACTAAACACATTCCAGTTTCTATTGTCTAGTATTTCTGCTAATGAACAGAGTCAGTAGATGTCAACAGCGTATGGGACTCAATTCCTTACTGTGTCTCACTGATGCGCTCCCCACACAATGCGCACAATGTAGATGACCTCCAGTGGTTTGATGGGCTGTGATCGTCTGCCCACTGATGCCTGCGAATTGCCCACTCTGCTGCACTGATGACCCTCACAGTACCTGGGACCACAAGACCCCCGTTGTTCTTCAGGGTCAGCAAATGGTAGCTCTGGTCACCACAGGCAGATGCAGCATCCATCACCAGGCTGGCACGGCAGAAAACGGTTACTCCGGTCGTTCACGGACGACTCACAAGGTTCCAGCTCGCTCAGGTTTCAGAAGGTGTAAACCTGCCCCGTGGTGGGCATTTGTGGTACTACAGTTCAGACAACATAAACAGGTTTAGTAGCCCTATACTTCTCATGGGTTATATTTACCATTCTTATTTACTACACTTTACAGTTGATATCTATGGTAGAACATAAATGTGTATTAACTTGTGTTATTGTCTAGGACTACCAGCAAAACAAATTCAGGTGACGCATCTTTCACTTGTATGATTCTGTAGCTGCGAAGAAGATAAAGTTGCAAATGCTAAAACATTTATTAGCTTTTGTTACCATTCTCAAGATCTTTTTTAGCTCTTCATAAGCCTTCAGTTTGTCCATTCCCTGTAACATAAACAAGGTGATTACACAACTGTTTTAATGTAATTGAAGTATCTCCAGCACCACTGATGCCAACTAGAATAAATTACCCAAAGAAAAGGTGCCACTCTAATTCACCTGATCATAGAAAATTCACTTGTCTTCTATGATTTATGCTGATGTAATTTTGAAAACCCAAATGCAACCCAATTAATTAATCGTAGCAAATGACCCAAGAGAAAAGGCCTATCCTTCGTGCAGAAGGAAGCCCAATCTGCTGCTGTCACAGGCTGATGACATCACGCCAAGTCCACTGCCATGCGACAATGGTACCCCCTGCTAAATTCTAGATTTTACTGAAGCATTTTAGTTTGACATTTTCCCTGAAGCCGTTTTTCCTGAAACCTGAGGCTTTTTTTTTCTTCATGGTGAAGTCTTGAGACCTGAGGTTGTCCTAAAATGTACGCCTACCTTAGACCATTCTGCAAACTCTAGAGGTGGTTGTGTGTGAAAGAAAACCTCCAAAGACCAGCCCATAAGGCACCAACAACCATTTGACAAGGAGCTTTTTTTCCTCGTTCAGCAGGTCATCTGCACTTCCAGGTGCCTCTAGACGAGTTGCTGCCATGCGACTGGGTGATCAGCTGTTTTGTTAATGAGTGCAGCTAAGAAAGCAGATGCTTCAGAAGTGAACAAGTCAATAATTTAACCGTCTTGTTTTGGATCAGAATTCTCAAGTGTCTAGTCACACAAACAGACAGTAAAGTGTTTTTTTACATGAATTTATTGGCTTTTTCAAAAAGTGACAATAGTCTTTAATCCATAAAACTAAAGAGTCACAACATTGGCTTGAATAAAAGCACAGCTTGATGTCTGAATACAATACAGATGACCAACATGTACTTAACCCCTGAACTAATAATTCAAATACAATTTTTTGTAAATAGGCAAAAAATATATCACTGTAGCGATTCTAATCTTAGTTTTCAGTATATGATGCACAGACACGCTATCAGCATTAATTACAAAAAGCTAGGCTGGTAAGGAGATTAGGGTAGCGTTAACCGTAGAGGTAATAAACAAAGGATATTCATAGTGTTAGTTAATACAGTGAGTGTGTGTAACTTCTGTGGAGAAGATACAAAATCGTCAAATCATGATTATAACAAAAAGATGAGTAGAAGGTATACAACACCGTAGCCGACAGCAGCCGTGGTTAGCAGGCGCAGGTACTCGTAGGGATGTTACTTAGCCAGTAGTGATGCTCAGAAAGAAACTTAATCAAATGTGCTGCACAAAGGATAAATGCCCACATAGCAACTCAAGGTGCTCATGTTGCCCCATCACCAAACATATGAAGATACTTGTTCCAATAAGTAATCCCGTTTTCAACTACACAGGTGAGACGCATCCAGGGATATATTTAAGTAAAAAAAAAAGTTTACTTGAAAAAGCTCAATAGGATAAAATGTAGAAAATACTGATCTAATATATTTTTAAAGAATTAACAGCCCTGTCTGTGTCAGTAGATTCGCTCCAAGATGGAATTTTCAGCAATTCTAGCATGAATGATTTTGGGACTGAAAACCAACGAATGACAAAAAAAAATAAATCAAAAAGTGGATTCAGGCAACAGAAGTGAACATGTGAGTTGTTGATTGAGGAGCTGAAATAACAGCAAACTGTCAGACCAAACTCTGCACATAATAGATTTTCTTCTCGGCTAAAATACAGCATGTGTGCAATTAGTATTTGGCAACATATTCTCCCACCTAACCAACAACCAAGACTGTAAACAAACAAAATATATACTGAAATCAAACAAAAAGGTGGACAACAGATGATGAGCGTAGATTGAAGACATTTCACCGTCTACTTTAGAAATCATCCAATCTGTTTAGAAGGCCTCGTGTTATTCTGAATCATGTTTGTGAAGAATTGTCCAAAGATCTGACCCCACATTACCCTTTCATGGAAACAGCTCTAACTACGTATGGAAGGACAGGATCGGGTGTAGATGGTTGGTGTGCATACTCGTGTGTTTCTCTTGTGACTTTAGCCACCCTCACCACTAACGCTCACGTTCCACAAAAATCAATCCACTGCAGGAAGTTTTAGAGGAGAGAGCACTTCTTGCCCCGCTTCTTGACAGGTGGAGGGCACAGAACGGCTCGGATGGCCTCGTCGAACACAGTTTTAAGGCCACGCTGAGTCAGGGCTGAGCACTCCAGGTACTTGACAGAACCTGGAGACAGAGTAAAGAGTTTACTCCTGGAAACTTTTGAAATAATTATGGACAATAAACATTTACAGTAAGAGTGAGAGCGGTTACCGATCTCCTTGGCCATGGCCAGGCCTTGAGGATAGGTAATGGGAGACAGCTTCTTCTCCTTCAGCTTCTCCGTGGTGTCCTTGTCATCTCTCAGATCCAACTTGGTGCCCACAAGGATGATGGGAGTGTTGGGACAATGGTGTCTAACCTCAGGATACCACTGCACAAACCACCCAATTTACTTTTATTATGACCACATCTTTGAAACATTATTTTATTTACAGCACAAAAAAGTTGAAAATAATAACTTAATGCATAAAAGAGTTGGCAGTAACAGGAAAGTGGCGGTCACGTTTAGAGCACAGGAACTAAAGAGTCAGATAATCACTTCCTGTTTGTTTATCACCAAGAAAAACTGTTTTCTGGCTATCAAGTCAGTAAACATGACTTCACAAAGTGTGACCCACTGCAGGGAGCCTGTGTAAACCCTAAATAATACAGATTTTAGTTAAGTTTATCAATAATGGTTGCTTGGTCCTTTGAAACAAAAAGAATTTGGTAACGCTTCCTTTTACAGTCCCCTAATTATGAAGTACTTACATGGTAATTACATAGTAAGTTAAAGTGTAATATTGTTTGAGTTCTTAAACAGTTATTACCATGTAACTCGGGTTCAATTCTACTTTTTATTTTTATTAATCATTCACAGTGAATACTGCTTTACACAGTAATTACACTTTATTACAATTATACACTTTACACAATAAGATACTTTAACTTACTATGTAAGTACCAAGTAAGTACTTAGTAATTAGGGGACTGTAAAAGGAAGCATTACCAAGAATTTTGTAAAACAGCCTGAGATTTGATGTTTCATCAGGGTTTCTGCTGTACTAAAACAAAATCTCTTTCATTCATTTGCCTGCATTTTATTTAGAAATAGAAGCTTGACTGTGACATTTCATGATTTAATAATTAAACCAACTTAGCCTTTGGTGTGAAATGTCAATCCTACTACCAGATACCTAGGGGGTCATGTAAAAATACTACAATTCCTGCTGGGACTATATATAGTAGAAACAAATTGTTGCCTGAGTTAATTTCGTAAGCTAAATCCCACTAACATGTGTCCACATCAGCCTAAAGCCATTCATTGTTTCCCAACTACTCACCTTGGCACGGACGTTTTCAAACGAGGCAGGACTCACGAGAGAAAAGCAGATAAGGAACACATCCTGAAGAGTAAATAAAAACAAAGAAGTCAGAGTCAAGGCTGTTCGCCTCCAGGTAAAAACAAAACTTAGCTATGAGCTCATAATGGTGTGTTGTCTTCATTTCAAATGTATTCCTTCTTTATTTCCTATTCATTGAGGTTAATAAGTGACATATAACACAGCAACCAGTCGGGGATTTCCTGTACCGTCTGAGGGTAGGAAAGTGGGCGGAGTCTGTCATAATCTTCTTGTCCTGCTGTATCCCAAAGGCCCAGGTTCACCGGCTTCCCGTCCACCATCACATTGGCGGAGTAGTTGTCGAACCTGAGAAAAGCAACCATGTGCAAATGAGCCACAGCCGTCTTGTTATAAACAAATTAGAAAAGGTGACTAACATTAGGCGTGACACAAAACGGATCTGGAACGCCCCTCGTTTCTTTGTAAAAGTTAATCATCAGCTCATAAATATGACTGAAACTACAGCCCGTTTATTGAATGCCCACAGTCCAGATTACAAAGGTGACACAAATAAACAGCTGATCTACGATCAGATTAGAAACAGGTTTTCCTTTGAACCTCCATTAATACGTGGGTGTTAAATCTGAATTACAGTTTAGAGCAGTGATTGTTCCCTCACTCAAACAAGGAAATGAATATTCAGAGATAAAACAACAGAGAAAAAAAGATATCGCTTCAGACTGGAGGAGAACGAGGAGGAGACACATGACGGACGGCAAGGCTGTCATAAATAAATAAATACAGACCGCACTGCAGTCTCAGACACTTACACTGTGGGGATGTATTCTCCAGGAAAGGCATTGGTGGTGTAGCTGATGAGCAGACAGGTCTTACCCACAGCACTGGGAGAGAGAACAGAGATGGTTATGGTTTACAGGAAGAAAAAATAATACTTTAGTCAAATATTTAAAAAGAAAAAGTTAACAGAAGTACCATGTTTAAGTCTACAACCTTCTCACAGACTAACTGTTGGTGTTTTGAGCAGACACCATCTACCTGAATGAAAACAGCTGGATAAAACTGGGAGTAAATATCAAATCCTTTATTATACTGTTTATTTCAAAGTCCTGAACCACTGTTGAGGGTCTGACTAGATCATGATGGGCATTTGGCCACTTTAACAAATCCAAAGTCTTGGGTCAAACCAAACATTAAGTTGAGACAGAGCCTGATGAGGAGCTAAAGAGCTCAGAGTAGCCAGACGTTCTTCCTTAATACAATCACAAGACACTAAAAACGGATATGAAACTTCCCAGTTCCTTTTCCCGTAAAACGATGCTCTCCCTGAACGACTACAGCTGTGGTGTCCACCACCACACCCTGATGCATGCGTAATAACCTCCCTCATACAATCACACATCTGACTATGAGTCCTAATCCTCAGTCTTACACTCAGAATCCACCTGCAGCTCAACACCCACGAAGTCTAAACACATCAGACCGAAAACAACATCCGCGAACAGCTGCTGCTAAAACACCAAGCTCCCTCTGACTCTCGTTTGCTTATTAAGTTGCCAAACTAACTACCGCTGCGGTAAAGTGGAGCTGCTACTTGAGGTCTGACTCATTTAAGTATGAGGAAAACCTGAGGAAGATTAGCTTCCCATGTTAGACAATAGTCACCTCCGTTAGACGACGACAAACGAGATAAACGAGCGAAAATGCTACACTTTACTCTCCAAGTTGTAGCGATTAACAGGTAGTTATGACTTCAACTTTGACCGTTCAGGAAAACATATAAACGCAAATGTCTACATGTTAGCAAGCTACACGTCAACAATTTACATTAACGCTAAACGGCAGGTTTAAACTCTTGCTAGGCTGAGTTTTGTGAACTTACCCGTCCCCGACAACAACACACTTTATGGCCTGCATCGCGCCGCAGCTAAGGAATGCTAAGTTAGCTCAAGAAGAGCCAGCTAACGTTAGCTCAGGTCTCCTTTTCCTTTGTCCGGAACTGCTCGCTGGAGAGACGTTCCAACAGCCTCCTGCTATCGGCCTCCGGTGCTACAACACAGCCCCACCGGTGCGGAACAGCAACTGGTACACTTACAGTAACTTGTTTCACACTTTAACTCGAGTTTACTCAGAAATCTCTACGCAACATTCCCATGCTTTCGTGGGTTAAACTGGGAGTTATGGAGCAAAACAGCGGCCACCACCCCGGAGAAAAAAAAAATGAAGTCAGCCACCAGCAGATGGAGCATCCGGTGTACGGAGCTGATAACGCCCACACGGATACTTTTATCCGTAATAATCTGGCATAAACCACCAGGTTTCCCGAACCATGAACAAAAAAACATAAACTGGAGTATTGCATAAATTACTCAAATGGTTGTTTAAAATAATAACATGTAAAACACATCTATAACAAAAAGACGGATGATTTCAAATGTGACACCAAAAGAGGAACTGACGTCAATACTCACCGATCAAGATCAGATGGAATGTTTAATGGACATTTCCTGAACTGCGCCGTCAAGGTTTTATAAGAGAGTACGAAAAAGTGACTAATTATTTATGTCTATGAATTTATACAAACAGTTAATTGCAACATTAAACTTGTGACGCTGGATGGACACATTAAAGTACGAGCAAAGACATGACCTGGAGACCTTATCTTAGATTTTCTTTAAAAAGGGACAAATTGTGAACCCTAAGCAGGCACAGCTTGGTGTCAGCAGTGTGTGAATCACCAAAGTTACGTCCTAATGAACTATTATTGTAATGACACAACTCACACAATTGTCCAGTGAGACTGCTACTGATTACATGAAACTGATGTGCAACACCTGTATTTTGATGTCATCATGTGATTTGTTCTTTTTAATGTGTGATAATATTTTAATCTATGTCTTGTGAAACGCAGGCTGTTAACTCAATATGTTAAAATATCTGTGTTTTTCTGCTGTCTTGAAAACACCTCATTTCATTCATTTCTATAGTTGACTTATTTTTATGTTGATGTTGTACCCTGAATTGTGCGACTCTAGACTTGTGCAGTTGAATGTTACTGAAAAGGGACAAATAAAGCTTTCATTCATTCGTTTGTTTGTTCGTTTGTTTATGCATGCCTATGTGTACATGTGTGGATTTCTATTCTATTCATATTTGCAGCTGTTTGCGGTTTTGTTGAACGATGCAAAAGCAAAGGATGTTATGGGAATCACTGAGACCTAAGATTGTTTAGCCCTGTATACCATTTCGGGTAACTTTCATAGCGCCTATTCAATTCAATTCAAGTTTATTTATATAGCGCCAAATCACGACAAGAGTCGTCTCAAGGCACTTCACATAATAAACATTCCAATTCACAGTTCATTAAGCCAATCAGAAATAATGTTTCCTATATAAGGAACCCAGCAAATTGCATCAAGTCACTGACTAGTGTCAGTGACTATACAGCAATCCTCATACTAAGCAAGCATGCAGCGACAGTGGAGAGGAAAACTCCCTTTTAACAGGAAGAAACCTCCAGAGAATCCTGGCTCAGTATAAGCAGCCATCCTCCACGGCTCACTGGGGATCGAGAAGACAGAGCAGGCAGAGACACACACACACACACACACACACACACACACACACACACACACACACACACACACACACACACACACACACACACACACACACACACACACACACACACACACACACACACACACACACACACACACACACACACACACACACACAAGTAATGTGTCTATAGTTATATTGTGATGTCTTAGTAAATATTGTATTTGGTGAAAGATAAACTTTATTGTATTTATCCTAGTGGATCTATAATTAAACGGACAAACTAGTATTAGCACATCAAAAGTCAATGAAAACAAAAAGTTATTATCAGGAGAGAGAGAATGTATTAGTGGTTAGCAGCAGTGTGCTAGATCAAGATAAAAATCACGTGGCGCTTTTATATATATATATATATATATATATATATATATATATATATATATATATATATATATATATATATATATATATATATATATAAACAGATTTTCGGCATGTAAAACACCAATATTTGTGCAGGTTTATTTTTCAACAAGACAAAAAAAAAAAAACGTTGTTCCCTTAAGTCTAAACTCAGGGTTGCTTCGCCCACAATCTCTCCATTTCCGTGTGTCACACCATATCGGTCCTCTTTAGGTGGAGCGGTTCTGCCAGCAAAGACAACGCAAAGCAGCTCGGTGTTGGTCAGCGGTAGAAACATGAAGAAGTATCTCACACTTCTCGCCATTTTTCTCGCCTCGCCTCATCAGCGGGTCTACTAAGCCGAGGAAACGCCGGACTGACTTGGCCTTTATGGGGGGTCTGTCGCACCTAGTTCTCCGATTCTCGGGCTCCGCTTGTCGGACGTACGGAGTGTTTTGCAAAGGCTTGACGAGGACTTTGTTGATTTTCTTTGAGCTCGCATGGCGACTGAGAATCAGATTCCCTTATATCTACCTTGTTGCCTCGATGGTGTTTAATGTCAGGTTACAGGTAACCATCCCCTTTTTACAAATGTTTGTTAAAACTTGCTACTAGCTGTTAGCCTGCCTGTCACCACGCCAACAGCTGACAGGAAGGTTTTGTGTTCGTAAGTGATTTAAGTATTTTTTTTTGTTGTTGTTTCTTGAGGAATTTTATGAATTTGGGGGGAAAGCTATGTAAACAAACCTGGCCTTGTGTGGTAGAGTCACTGGCCCTAATGGGGGCAACCACTCAAGTGTTTAGTGTTTGTGATGACTGGTGGAGGAGTTCTGCCCAATGAGTAGTTTACAGTCAGCCGCTTTAGAAGGTTTTAGTCTGAATCATTGTTTAAAGTCAAAGGTCAGACTTTATTTGGGAGAGAGGCTAAGGGAATTCATGGCTCCATCAGTTAGAGTGAGTCGCCCAGACACCAATGGCGGGGTGGGGGGGTGGATGATGTCTTGTGCTGTTTGTTCAGCAGAGGATGTTTTGGTCCATTAATTATGATGTTGTTGAATCATGAACTCAATCAATCAAGCAATCAAATTTTGTTTGATTGCATAGTGCCCTCCACTGCCTTTACAGTAGCCTAAGGTGCTCAACATGGCATCAAAACAGTAAAAGAGCAAAAAGACAGATGATAAAAATAAAAAAAATCACTGAAATAAGACAGAACTAATACTGAAAATCTAAAAATCCATATTTTATAAAAGCCAAACGATAAATATTAGTCTTCAATTGACCCTTGAAGACCTGCAGTGATGGGGACTGTTTGATAGCAAGTGGGAGCTCATTCCATAATGTTGGAGCAAGGACTGAGGCCCTATTACCTCTTGTTTTGAACCTTGTTCGTGGGACAATGAGCAAATCCCGATCAGCTGAGCGAAGGGAGCGTTTAGGGGCATGCATCTGCAACAACCCAGCCAGATATGGTGGGGCACCACCGTGAGGGCCCGGAAGACAAACAACAGAAATTTAAACTTTACCCACAGGGAGCCAGTGTAGGGATCCAGGACAGGAGTAACGTGTTGTCTTTTTCAAGTCTGTCAGAAATCTATTTGCCGAGTTCTGCACTAACTGCAATTGTTTCATTGCTGCCTGACTTAGCATAGTGCATCACAGTAATCAAGCCTTGATAAAACAAAAGCATGCAGGACAGACTCGAGATGCGTCCTAGACAACATCAGCTTGATCCTTGCCAAACGGCGCAAGTGAATAAAGCAGGTTCCCACAGCCTGGTTTATGTGACTTGTCAAATTCAATTTCGCTGTCGATTACAACCCAGAGGCTTCTGACAGAAGACTTCCAGTAGGGTGTCAGGGCATTCAAATCAGGAGCAGAGCTCACACACCTCTTGCTAGAAGGGAGGAATGTAATCAGCTTGGTCTTGCTCTCATTAATGTGAAGAAGTTTGCTGCTAGCCACAATTTCACCTCATCCAGTCAAGTCTTGAGTTTCCTAATAGGGCCTCGGGACTCTCGGGGGTGGGTGGGTGGGTGGGGGGGGGGGGGGGGAATAAATCTGGCAGTTATCTGCACACAAATGAAACTTTATTCCATGATGGCGTAGGATTACTCAAATCTTTATAACCGCTGAGCTGTAGATGTTCTGCGGTTCTTTCATTTCGGTAGGAAAAAAATAGCAATGTGTTGCTTTTTGTGGTCTTTCAGCCTATTAGGACTGCATGGTGGCACAGTTGGAAGCACTGTTGCCTTGCAGTGATAAGGTTGCTGGTTCTACCCCCATCTGTGGTTTCTATGCATAGTGAGCATTAGGGTTGTCACGGTATGAAAATTTAACCTCACGGTTATTGTGACCAAAATGATCACGGTTTTCGGTATTATCGCGGTATTTTTTAAACAGTGTTGCATATGTTCAGAAAGCATTGATAGTCCTGTTCTACACAAACTGAAATAGTTCTGAAAAGGTTTAACAGTGTTTATTAAACCTAAAATAACACAAAGCCTTAGCAAAAGTGCAACTTTTCACAAGTAAAGGAACAAATAGCTTATTTTTCTGGAACATGTTACAGTAGTCAGTGCAGGTTTAAATTATACAAATCCAAACATTCAAAACATAAACAATATGTAAACAAATCAAAGAAACACCACTTGTTTTCTCATATACTTGTTTTCTTCATTATCAAAATGAAAATCTAAAACTCCAGTCCACACTTGACTTGAGCACTGTACAAGTCAACCTTAAAATATGTATTTAAAATAAATAGCCACTTTAAACAAATTACTAAAATAACTACTACACTATGTAATCAAATCCAAATGTTCAAGTATAAATGGCATTGAATAAGTAAACAAATCAATGACAAGGAACTAATTGTATATTTCTCTTCATCATCAACAAATAAGATGCTTCATCCAGCAACAGGGTGTCCGTGACACGGTTTAAATGCTGGCAGAGGACGCTGCGGCTGCAGTATATAGTGACTCGTTGCATTCTCCCTCAACCAAAAGTCCTCACGTCATGCATTTAAGCTAAAATGCTAATGTTAACTTACCTTGCACTGGCTGTAGAGACGTGGGTGATGGTCACTCAGATGTGCCATTAGATTCGAAGGCTGTGTCTCAATTCAGGGTCTGCATCCTTCGAAGGACCCAGCCCACCCGGCCGACGTGGGCTGCGTCCTGCGTCGGCCGGGTAGACCGGATGTTAACGGCTGTGAATTTGGACAGGCCTAGCCTTCATGAACTCCCTCGGCGAACGTTCCGTCGCCTAGCAACCGTGGAACCGCTGGGCAGAAGGAACCTTAAACGATGGAGCTCGACGTTTTATTTAGCTTTTTAACCCCCAGAAACCCAAATTTAGAAAACAACTGCAAAATATTTTTTTAACCTTTCACATGTTGTTCTAGGAGGCCAGATGAACGGGCCTATTTACACATTTTAACAGCCAATAGTGTTGCAGAACTGAATAGGACCTATTAGCAATGTAAATGTGGTTTTAAAAAGAAAAAAAATGGGGAAGGTTTATTTTTGTAGACTTAAATCTGATGTTGTAATACTACAACCGTGGGTCTCTGGGGGTTAATCATTTCCTTGACTGTTGGAGAGCTAATTCAGAGAAAATACTTTAGACTAGCTGAGCCTGAGCAAAGATGTGATAATAGTTTTTAATACTTTCTAAGGGTCTTACTTTGACCAAAACCGATTTATCACCTTTTAAGACTTTTCAAGACCCAGCGGATACCCTCTAGTAAACAATTCTCATTTGTAAACAAAAATAAAATTCAAGAGTTTAATGCAGAACTGATTTTATTTAGATATTTCTTTTACATGTACATGTTTAATCTTCATTAACCATTTTTTTCTAGCAAAGTAAAAAGCTGTCAAAGTTCTTCCTTCTCTCCTGTGCTCTCTGCTGCTCTGCAGCCTCATGTCCTCCCAGATCAGCTCCAGAAGCTCATCGCTGGCACCTTCCCCTGGATGCCCATTTTCTCCAGAATAGTCTTAACAAACATGTAAGAAAAGAAACAGGAAGAGAAAAGAGGACAACGGGTTATTCCTTTCATGTTTTCGCAGAAAAAAATATACTCAAACGAGTTTTTAAAATATGAGATGTTATTGTACCTCCATGCCACAGCCGCCGAATACTTTGCTCCGGTGATCATGTGGTCCATCTCCGCCCTAAGCTTAATAAATTCCCTGGTTTTCTCTTTTGGTCCTAAAATACAAACTTCTATTAAAATCAGGGGGAAACGTAGTGGGAGAAGTACGACACCGAGCGCGGCCGAACATACGAGCCGAGACCGCAATACAAGCACTTTTACTGTAACATTTCTAACTAAAATAACGTTCATGTATCACAAAAAGTCCTTAAACTGACAGTTTTCAAGTTTATACTTACATTTATATGCGCAATCCTCTCCGACAGCTCCCGCTTCACTGTCCGCCATTGTTTTTAAGTTTTTCTGCCGGCCGGCCCGCAAGGCATCTTGGGAAATGCTACCTATTGAAGGATACACCCGACCCATCCTTCATTCAGGCGAAAAGAAGGCCGCATTCGTCGACCGCATTTGAAGGAGTCTTCGAATTGGGACAGGCCGAGTCGCGGCGCTGTGACGTAACCGGCCGACGAATCCGGCCGAGGTAGGATGCAGACCCTGAATTGAGACACAGCCGAAGTGTTGCTGCCTTTTGCAGACACTTGTTTCCTGCACGTTCTGCAAACGGGATAGCCGTCTTCTATTAACTGTCCCTCAGCGTTTTTCAGAAATCCAAAATATGCCCATACTTCCGATTTAGTCTTCTTTGAGGGCTGATGGATGTCCTGGGCGCTGCCGTCTCCTCCTTCGGCCATTATTTCAGCTTCAAAGTTTTGGTTGCAAACTAAAAAGTGCGTGTGCGCGGGAACTTCAGCAGAAGCGACGGTGGCTGGTAAGGGTCACCGCGCCTAAACCGCGGCCACGGTAAACCCACCGAGATAATTTAGTTTTTTTAAAAACTGGACGGTTATTTTTATCGTCAACTTTTTTACCGGGGTTTACCGCTATACCGGTTACCGTGACAACCCTGAGCATACATTGTCCCCATACAAGCATGGGTTTTCTCTGGGCACATCGCTTTCCCCCCACAGACCAAAAACAAACACTAGGTGTTAGTGATGCACCGATATGAAATTTTGGGGCAGATACCGATATCCGATATAAAGATCACTGTTATGGTTGATAACCGATATTTGCTGATACCGATATTCTGATATTAATGCTTCTAAAATCTGCATATTTTGTATAGAATGAAAATGATTAAAGCTAAAAGAATTTATGTTATGTACACACACAACACACACATTTACCGTTCTGAGATGATTTCATTCACTCTTCACATGACAAAACAATCACACATCACCCCCCTCACCCTCTGAAACAGGCAAACAAATGGAGACGACATGGAAAAAAATATCAGTTGTTAATATCAGCCCGGTTTTATTTATCGAACCGATTCCGATGTGTTAAAAAATGACTAACATCGGCCGATGCGGATATATTGTCCATCCCTAATAGGTGTTTGTCAGTGACTGTGTGAAGGGTTGTGTGTCTTGTCTCTGTGTGTCCCTGTGATGGACTGGTGATCTATCCAGGACGTCCCCTGCCTCTTGTCCAGCTTCCTGCAACCTGTGACCTCCAGGAGCCCCAACACCAACTCCTACATGCATACACACAAGAAATGTGATCATTTAAAAACTGTCTACAGACACACCGAGTTATAATCTTTCTATAGAGGTCTGAGTTTACTGTAGGGTGTGCTATTTGGGAGTTTATAGATGTGATTTTACAAATAAAGTCTTGCTAACCTCAGCACAGACAAAATTGTGTGGACCCCTGCAATCTTATGGGGACCAACCGGGGGAACCACTGATTTTCTCAAATATTATTTATTTAATTTATGAAAATGTGTATAAATCCAATATTTACTCTTCTTAGCTTCCTGAATGATTGTAACATTTTCTATTCTATTCAGCTTTAATCCCAAGTATTTACTTAATAAACTAAAGTGAAATAAAATTAAAAAACAATTTTCTAAAGATTAACAAACGTCATTCATCAACTGAGGTTTAAATGCAGCAGAAATATGCCCTGGTTTCAAATGAAAGTGATATTCTTCAGCATAATTTACTGACCATATAATAAAAGAAAGATGTGGTTTCAGTTGACAGAAATGAAAACATCAAATTAACCAAAATTTATTTAATTATATGTACCTTTTAGCAGATTTTAGTTCAAGTGCCAAAACAGAAAATGCTTTCATTTACTGATTTAGTTTGACCGAGCCTTTATCTGCTTACAGGTTCACATTGAAATCCACTGAGACTACTGCACCAGCATTCAGACTCCTCCCAGAGAGCATGTCCCCGCCGTCAGACGACCCTGGTTGACCCAGCACCGTCCAAGAAGAGGACACCTGATCCTGCAAACCGGTGTGACAAAGCGATAACATGCTCAGCAGCTTGTTTCTGTTGCCTGTCGTCACGGGAGCCCGGTGGCTTTGCAGGTGCGGGCAGCGGTGATGTCTGCAGGTGTGAGACGCAGCGAGGCGGAGGGAGGCTTCGCCGATCCAGGGGACGATCAGGAAGATTCCTGCTTTTTCCTTCGAGGACTTTTGTGACACGAAGTTAAAACGATTGTTGCTGTGAGACTTTGTGGCACCTTTATTTTTGTCTTTATTTTTAGTCACTCAGTGTTACGTCTCACAACCCAAACCTGGACAAGATCCACTTGAACTTAAACAGGAAGTATTTCTGCAGCATGGAACGAGTTAGCATGCCCCCCCCCCCCCCCCCCCCCAGGTGTGGTTATGCTTCCTGATCGGTACGAGTTCTTTTTAATACACGTTTGCTAGAGGAAATCTGACGAGAGGCCTAGGATCGATTCGCTGCACATGTTTTATGTTTACTGTTTGTTTCTGCACTTCAGTGACCCGAGGTCTTAGTGGAGAGATGCAGAAAAATACCCTGTTCAGCTGCTACTGAGGATTTAAGTGTGCTTGGAGTTTTGTGGCCATAGAACTGATGGTGAGAATGATTTTAATCTGGAAGGAATATTAATAAACTGCTGTGTGATTAGAGCCGTCTCATACTTATAACCACATGGATTCATTTGGAATCACGTTATTTTTCAAATTGAAAGGATCTTTGTTCAAAAATCTTAAGAAGATTGGTATAATACTATTACTTTGAATTGTACATCTACACGTACTATGAGAGAAAATACTTTTTTCATTTGTTTTTATTACTTATCTGGTCAAATAAATGAGAAAAACACTTAAAGTTTATCACTACAGTCATATGAATTGGAGATGAAATGCTTTATTTGTTTTAAAATCAAAAGTGTCTAAATTCACCAATGTCACTTTAATAAAGGTGTAGTCTCATAAATATAAGAAACAAGGCTCATAATTGATCTAAATAATGAAAAAAATACACGTTTGTATTTAGGTTTAACATTTCATATCACAATAATATGGTGAGCTATTTAACAAAAACAAAGAATGCAAAAATGATTTTCATCCAGCTGATAAGTCAGACACACACAAAGTGATCAATGAGTGTTTGCCAGTCTTTAATGTTGATCATATATGTAGAAGAAAAACATCAATTGTAGCTCCAGATCAACCGGAGAAGCTCATCCACCCATTTAGAGGTTATTGTAGGTGAAAACGTTCAGATCAGCTTGTTTTTACTTCCATGCCGGCCTCGTTCAGGCTGTCCAATAACAATAGAGCTACATTTCAAACTCAGCAGGCTTCAGTCCGTGTCAAGTGTAAAGGTTTATGACAACATATTTAGAAGACTAAAACCCAGATGAACTGCAGCAAAACAAACGATCGCCCACAAGTTATTTCTGCTGAAGCTGTCTGGAGATAAAACCAGTAAACAAATAAATAAAAAGAACAAAATACGGTTCAAAAGTGGAAAAGACATCTAAAACTGAAGAAGAGTCGAACTATAAAAAGAAACATCTCGAAGCCTAATTCATGAAATTCACTAAAGTTATTACTGTAGATTAAAATGAAAACTACAAAACTCTGCACTACGTTTGAATTTAAACCTGCCATCGCTATTGGCTAAGAGGTACCCTATAACCTTAGTTGGTACCATATGATGTCACAATGCCGCTGCGAGCCTGTGTGTGTAGCAGCTCCCTGTGCCGCATTTTTCAAACAGGAAATGGGAGAGGATTTAGACTCTGGTGGTGGTGGTGGTGGGGGGTGGGGGGGTGACTTGCTCTTTAATTTTATGTTGTACTAAATTCCACTTGTTTGTGTGTTTCAAACAAAGCTTCAGTCATGGTGGTGTTGATTCCTGTCTATGGCATTCTGTTTGGTAAAAATGCAACACAGTCCGTTTGTTCCCTAAATCCATCGTCTCCTCTTTTAGTGTCTGAGAAGGGCTGGAGTCATACTGGCCAGTTCAGAGCCACCAGTAACAAACTGGTGACTGAGCTGAGAAAGGAACCTGGTCATGTAGAGCAGTGGTCACCAACCTGATGCCCTCAGGAACTATATAAGGTGCCCATAGGCCTTTTTCTCTAAATAGCACAAGTATAAAAAATTGTTCTGCTTCCATCTTTTTAATTACAAATGCAATGTAGATTAACAAAAAAAAAAAAAAAACAATATTCAGTGTCACAGAAAATGTGTTTTTAAAAAGTTTCTTTGGATTTTGAGTGCATGTATTGAATGCAGTAATACTTAGTGACCACACGAGGGCAGCAGCCAACCACAGACCTGGATTATCATCTTTAATCTGTTAGAATAGATTAAAAAGCATCTTTGATGATACTGATTATCTATTTTATTTAATTTGCCTCAATACCTCGTGTGTAAAATGTGTCACTTGTTTAATGCACTCTTATATTTAATTAATGACTTTTACTTCATTAATTCTTTATGATTTTAGTTTAAAGGCACAGCTTCTGTCTGGTACACCCTTTAATCACGCTCTTCTTTAATTCCCTCGTCGTTGCTGCATTTCCCTCCGTGCAAAATGTCCCTAGTAAACTTCCTGTAACCAGTCCCTCTGATGCCAGGCAGAAGCAAAAAACCATCACTGGTTGCCAAGGCAACTCTCTTCCCAGTGTGACAGACAAACCTTCCCACCCACCCCCCTTTATCTGTGAAAAAAGAGGATTAATTTCTTAGGGGGGTAATTTCCAAATACTCAGGGGGTATTTTAATAGGGTTATCAAAAATGCTTTTAGAGAGAGATTTACAGATGAGGGATGAGTTGGGTTATACAGATGTATATTTTACCCTGTTTATGCCAGCCAGAATAAAAGATAAACAGTTTTAGCCTTTGGCATCTGCAGCAGCTCACGTGTTTTCTATGACCGAGCGTGAACGAGTGATAATGCTGCAAACGGAAGTGGCGAGGATTCAATCACAGCTGCAATGCAGTATTTTAGTTTTCAACTCCATCCTAGATGCTTAATGAAATTTTACATTTTTGGCATGTGGGAATTTTAAACGAGCTGTTTTATTTTAAACAAACACCAACGAATCTGCGTTTAGCTTTAGATTAAATTCAGTTTCATAAATGACGTGGTGGTGATGTCCAAGAAAAGATCTGAAATTATGTTTTTGTAAACGTGGATGCTTATATTTCCTATTGTTTGTTTATTTTGTCAAGACTGAATCATTATTTATTAAGAGAACGATCATGTTGAGAGTCATATTATTTAAATTTTACTATCATGGTTAGAAGTTTTGTCCACTTTTTGCTTCATTTGAGAAGAAAGTGTCACTTAAAAATAATATTTAGTTTTGTTTTCTGCTAAGTGACGAATGCGAAAACTGACGCCACACGTGGAATAAATGTGACCTTGTTTCCAAGATCTGATGAGCAACAGATGAAAACCATAGACATAGGACATGGCACCACCCGTTTCTCTCATTTCTCTGGTTTGAAGCAAAAAAGGCGGTCCCCACCACCAATATTTTGGCCGTGTCACACATCTCTTCACGCCCAGACAATCCAAAAATGGAAAAAGAGGTTGAGCTGAGGGCGGGGCTTTGAGGGTGGTAGCAAATAAACCAATGTAGCTGCTAGTTAACTGAGCTAACCCCCAAAGCTAAGAAGGAACCCACATGGCCGCCTGGCTTCTGTGCCAGGCTGTAGTTGTGCTGGTGCCTGTGGAGCTCTAATATGGACAGTAAAAAGAAAAGCTCAGACTGCTGCGATCGTAGCCGGGTGCCCTGGCTGCCTACTTCAGCTCCTGCTCCTCTCCTCCGCCACGGTCGGAGATCGGCGGGACATTAGCTGCGTGATAATCCAAATTTCACTGAGGTTTTTAGGCGCTTTTAGCAAGAAAAACGTGGTTGAGCAACTCAAAAGTGAAGCAGCTTTAACTCAAAGAGCTGCCATGCTTCTATGGTCTCCCTCAGAGCTCCACAGGCGACCAGAATGACTACAGCCTAGCATTGGAGCCAGGCGGCCGTGTGTCCCAGCTGCCCCGGGAAACGGGAACAGTCAGCTGCCTGCAACTAGCAATATTTCCTATACGGGAGACAGGAGAAACCAGGCACCCGCTCAAGTTTCATTACCTAGCCCCTAACATCTTTGACCAAGCAGTGTTATGTTAAATGCATAGCATTTCCCCCCATTCAACCAGTGGAATAAAAGTACAGAAATATAATGTTACTTACTGATAAAAATGAAGCAGAGACTTTTTGGGCTATCTTTTAGAGCAAACAATCCACAGCTTGGCCTCTTTGTCTAAATAATTCAATGATTAACATCCAAACACACACAGAACACAGCCAAAGTTCAGCGAGTCAAAATGGCCAAACATCTGTTAACGTGAGTCCGAGGCTAAGGCCCTCCATGGAGCTAGCTGCTAGCGCTAGCTCTGGCCCTGCTACCTGTCAATCAAATCTAATTATTCATAATTTCAAGCATTTAATCACACCTAAAATTTGTCATGACTGTAAAATAGATCTATTAAACCTAAAATGTGTGTTTTTTTAATTAGGCTGTAAACATGTTTATTTCTGCTGTGAAGTTGACATTTTTAATATGGTCAGTGAGGATTTGCTCACTTCTGGTGTTAGCCTCTAGAGGATGAAACTGCAATTTTTGTCACTTCTTTGTTGGGTTCACAAAATTCACACCAAAATGGCTCCTTGATGAAAACCAAAGTAATCTAGAACTATGTCAATATTTGAAAGCACAGCCAATTGGATTTTTTGAATGAATGAATGAATGAATGAATGAATGATCAATTTATTCAGTCAGTCATCTTAAGATAATGTACAATAACATGTCATACAAATAGATACAAATACCATTTCTCACTAACATATGCTTTCATTTGTATATGGTGTCTATTTGGTATCTCAGACTGAATAGGTTTAGGCAGAAGCAATAGCTTATATAATTGCCTAACCTACTTACAAAACAATTTTTTAATTTCCCGCAATGAACCAACAACCAAAATAAAAATAAAACACAAATCCATCCATCAACATAAAATTAATACTCTTCAAAAATATTTTTACAGATAAGTTTTTTAAGAACTGAAAGAGAAGTTGCTAATTTTAATTCTATTTTAGCCTCATTCCAAATTTTTTTAACCACGGTTCTGCTATTTTTCTTGTTAGAAGCTGAAATAATTTCCTAAATATTGAAAAGACTGAAAGGCATTCACATTGGTACATGATTTTGAGTGTAAAAAAACAACATCAAGTACTATAACGAGCTCCAGTTTGACCCCAAAATTAAATCAGAGTTGCAAGGAGCAGAGAAGAGAGGAAAGAGAAGGAAAAGGAAAAGGGGGGAAACATGGAGGGGGAGTCATTGTGTGTCTAAAATGGGTCAAAAAAGGCAAAGAAGAGCATTTGAAAACGCAGCTATTGTAGGAGGTGTTAGTGACATTTTTGCTTAACTCAGCCATGATTTTTCTAGCCTGCAATTGGAAAAAGGTAGATTTTGTTTCCAAGCATCATCAGTTTAAATATAAGAAAACATTTGCCTCAAATGCTCCAGGATCACTGATTCTCTTACTGTCACCTCACGAATGCTTGTGTCTGACTGAAGCATCTGTCTTAAGTTTCTGTGTTTTGTTT